ACATTGGATAATGGGGCAAGTTCACTGCTTTTTGTGGCCTGGATGTTGATGAGGCCCATGCTGCATCTTGTATGCTTTTTGTGAATTTTTCAACAGCTTCTTCTAATTCCTCATGATTTTTAATTGAACCTGGAACGGAAAGATTGGTGTTCAAATAGTCTCTATATGCGTCCCAGTCCATGCAGCCTTTTATGAGCCTAGGTCTTTTTTGTTCCTCGGAAGGCGCGTCGAAGAGAACCATGTGCACTGAGGAGTGATCAGAACAAAGATCAGAGCTTGTATTGACGGAAAATGGTACGGTTCTTAGTCCTTTTGTAATAAAGAAATCAAGTAAGTCGGGAGTTTTGCGTCTGGAGGTGGGCCAATAAGTTGGTGAATTTGGTGTTACAGTGTCTAATGAAAGTTCATGGAGGACAGACCAGAGATTTCTGCCTCTTGGAGTACACAGCCTTGAGCCCCAGCCTTGATGCTTAGCATTATAGTCTCCACCTGCGATGAAGCATCTTCCGAGGCGTTTGAAGAACTCAGAAAACATCGTGGGTGTAAGCTTGTACTTAGGGGGACAGTAAACTGAGGCAAATGTTATAGTGTAGTGTTTAGTGTATAGTGTTATTCCTGTCGATTGTATGTCGGGTGTAATGGGTAAGTCTACGGGATTGTGTTTCAGTGAATTTTTGACGAGTATAGCTGTTCCTCCATGTGCAGTTTTATCTGGGTGATCAGTTCTGTAAATTGTGTAATCCTGGATGTAAATTTTTGATCGGGATGTCAGGTGTGTTTCTGTTATGAGTGCTACGTCGATTCTTTTTTCGTGCAAGTATAAGTCGAGTTCAGTACTGTGCTGTTTCAGTCCGTTGGCATTCCATAGAAGAACTGACAAGGAGCCTACAGTTAAATTATTGTGGGCCATAATTTGGGCACCAGACTTGTGTAACCTGTGACAGTTGTTGAAGAAGAATGAAAAGGGGCTGGATTAGGTTATTTAATCCATTAATTATATTAAATAATTGAGAAGAGCCATTATCTACCGGAGGTATCGGTTGGGTAATGCCTCTCCTCGTACCTGTACATGTTTTCTGATTAGGGGGTGCTGAACTAGATGATGTTTGGTTTTGTTGTTGCGGAGGTCCTGCGATGATCTGTGGTTCCCCTTGGTTGTGACGTTGCCGTATTGGAGGGAATTCATGCATGCCTGGAGGTCCCTGCGCTGGCTCTGCTACTGTGGAACGCTGAAGACGATTTCTTGCATTGCGCTGAAACCTGAGATCTTTCAGCGTCTGGCAGCCTCTGTAATTAGCGGGGTGCTGACCGGCACAGTTGGCGCATTTCGCGGGGGTGTCTCTCGTTTTCAAACATGAGCTGGTTTCATGATATTCACCGCACTTTACGCATCGTGGTCGATGGTTGCAATAAGTTTTAGTGTGCCCATATTGCTGGCACCGAACACACTGAGGAATATTTCTCTTTTGACGCGGTTCCTCAATTTTAATATGTGAATAATAAAGAAATTCAATACTAAAAATTTCTTCTCTAAACGTCTCTTTTGTAATGTCCACAAAGAACATAGGAAGGGGTTTTTTGAATCTAGATATGACGTTCACTACATTGGTGGCTTCGTAACCCAATTTTTTAAATTCCTCTTTAATGATATCGATTGGTGTTCCATGGTGAAGATGTTTAACAACAATCCTTGGGCATTTGTCCTGTGGAAGTTGGTAGGTATGGAAGTCGGCGCCTTTATTTCGCAGGCTAGAATTTAATTTTCGATATACGTCAGGATTTTCTGGGTACACAGTGACACCTTTCAATGTAGACTTAGTTTTAAACATATTAGGACCCGTTTCGTTTTCTAGAAATGAGATTAATGCATGGTAATTTTCAACACCGTTTATAAAAATTGGTGGAGTTTTATTGTTTTGAGGCGGTCTTCTAACTTCTTCTGTTTGTAAATTAGTGATGTTGGTTAGAACCTGAAAACTGTTCGAGGTTGGGATAGATTCTGTCGGTCGTTTTTGAGCTCTTGGCTCGCTCGAATCTATCATAGGTCTTTTACGACCAATAACCAGTTCCCAGGAGCCGTCTTCATTGTTTATATCACTGTTTTTAAAGTTCATGTTACTTACCTCAGTTTGAGATGATTCCACCATTGTTGGCGGTGAAATCCGCTCAATCTTTGTTTGGTGTTTGGTCCTTAGCAATCTTGTCTTGATAAAACACTTTTGTTACACAAAAATTAGGTATTTACACTTAATTAACACTTTTTTTGGAAGACAATACTAAATTAACCTTTCACCTTATTCAACATCAACAGCTGTTCTCGTCCCAAGTGTTCCTTAGTCCGAAAATTTATAACCCTGTCGAAATATGTACCCCTCAAAAATTCGAAAACACGTCAAAATATGTCCTCCTCAAACCCACTTCTGGGCACCTCTGTATCCTTCATATCTTTAATCTATTTAAGTTCATCTACATTACTTCATTCCTTTTATGTGCCAGTCAATTAAACAATTTAAGGGAAATGTAAACAAATATATTTAATTTTTTGTCTGTTAATTATTGAGACTTTTTATATTTATTTTGTGAATTAGCTTTATATATTATATTATTTATGTTAGTCCTTATTATTATTATTTTTTTTTTTTACTTTCTCTTTCTTCAAGATTTAGGTTAATCGTAATTTAGTGTTGTATTAGATTATGTATTGCCGTTAGTTGATTGTAATATGGATTTTAATATTCAATTTAATATTTTAATTTTTTATTGGAGATACAATATTTTAATTCAGAAGCTTAACATAAGGTTTGATAGAATTTCGATGTATTAATATAATAAATTAAACAAAATAGATGATTTTTGCACATTTTATGTGTAAATTAGACAATTTTACGTATTTTGGGTTTTTACTGCAGAATTTTGCACGTTTTGAGTTTTTTACTGCACAAAAATCCGGTCTCTAGTCATGAGACTTGTGGCTCTCAATTCAATATTCAAACTTGGATAAGTTGCTGCTGAGAACGGCTCTCACTCATGCTTCTCACGATTTTTACTTTTTTTTTTCTATTTTTTTTTATTAGATTCAATATTTGTTGATATTTAATTTATCAATTAATATTATAAATAAATAACACTAAATCCACTACAATTCAATTCTGAATTGAAAAGTTTAATATGAAATGAATTTTATTTTTATATTTACATACAAAAGTAAAAAATTGTATTATTTACTTATTTACCTATACAACACATTAAGTCCTAATAATGGCCACTTTACCTTATACATTTTATAATAAAGTGGTGTGATTGCTGTTTTTTATTCCTAAATCTGTTTTGTACAGTAGGAAAAATCCAATAAAAACCTACATACAAATGAATAAATAACATACAGACTATATATTTTCATTAAAGTGTAGTAACAAGAGAAAACTAAGCACACAATCACAAGTTTTATATCTTATAATCGCAAAGATAGGATTTTTATTCATTTTATGTTTGTTTTTTTTTTATTCACAATCGAACACAATTTTATTTTATTTTTTTCAGAGGTAGATGCACTATTGGACATTTTTAACGAAAAGTGTTTTTATTTCATTCTTTTTTAATCTTTAAATATCTCTCGGCAGTCAATCAATGATATCAACAAACAGCGAATTTGATTAAAACTAAACAAGTTCAATATTACATAACTAAGAAGGAAAAAATGCGTATCTAACACAAAGGAAATATAATATTCCATTTTTTTTTTTACTTATAAAAAACTTACTGAATAATAAGGTTGGAATTGGGGACCAGGGGGGGGGGGGGCTACTTTCAGTGACGACCATAGGGTGGTGCAACCGGGGCTATTGCCCAGGGGCCACTTGTCAGAAATTAAAAAAAAAATACAAAACGTATTTTAATAAATAACTTTGGCCTGTTAATAGAGTAACTATATTAGAGAAAAATAGAATGCACAGGCTTCTATATAAAATCAGAAGTTAGCTCTCAATGAAACAGAAAATTATTTCTGTAATTGAAAACAATGAACTGATTTTGGTGCAATGTTGCCCTTCAAGTTATGAAGTTCTCCTATTTTGCGATTCCTATAATTAAAAATTATTAGTGAAAGGAAATTTAAAAAAAAAACTAAAGTGTGTGCATAAGACCACACGACAGAAGTAACAATATCAGTAAGGCTGGATTAATAATATGAAATATATATTCATATATATATTGATAAGTAGTCGTCTCGAGCCGACTTTACCCGAATACGCGTTACATTTGGCTGACGGCTCAGTCTCATTCAATACCCACAAAATAAAGTTCTAAGTTTAGAAAACTAAAGAAGTTGTCACTTAAAAAAAAAAAAATATATATATATATATATATATATATATATATATATATATATATATATATATATATATATATATATATAATCTATTAATGATTGCTACAAAAGGCTTGTTTAAATTAGTTCATTTTTCACCATTTTACAATTTTAACATCTTCTATTAAATTAGCGGTTTCTATTTGTAAAATATCTTTTTTATTTTGTTGAAAATTACATTATATTTAAAATACACTCGTTCGTTTCATTCTCCGATTGGTTTTTACAGACAGCTTTTAGTCATTATCATCTTAATTTAAGTTATTTTAATCTATGAAATAATAGTGAAAAAGATTTATTTTAAAGACTAATTAATAATTTGTGTTTATCTCATATACAGCTGAATATTCATTATTATTTTGACAAAGAATTATCGTTTGTTTGTAATGATTATTTTCTATTTGGGACCAGTCAATATCTAATCCCTCACCAATAAATGATAATAATAAATCGTAACATTCAAGCAATCATCACTTCTATTTCTTTATTTAATGAACATTTTCGTAAAACAATAAGATTGATTCGAAAATATATGCTTTTTTGGAACATTTCATTCTCAGTTTAGAGAAAGAGGAAGATCGGGAAATGTGGATATTAGTGTCCTGTTGAGGAGTTCTGACCTGTGTACTCCTGGTTCAGTCAGTGTCTCGTATCATCCGAGATGAGTGGAGCTCTACTCTTCCGAGTTTCTATTCCAGCAGACAAACCTTTAGAACAGGTATTAATAACGTTTTTCGATACTTATAAATTATACAACATTTACTAAAAGTGAAATTTCAAGAGTTTCGATGTATCATAAACCAAATCATTTACGACAGTTTTCGTAAGAATGACGAAGATAAAATTTAATATAATATAATTCATGTAGCTATCAAATATCAGAAGCAACTAAATTACATTATATTTACATATATATAATATTTAATACTATCTATTTCAAGTATATTTATTGATACAGTCATTTCAGGCTTAACACCGGATTAAATAGGTAATTGGTAAGGATAAACTTTAGAATTGAAAATCAATAATATTGTATAATTTTAAATCATATATTAATTTATATCGAAGTCTGATAATTATCTAGAAAAAAGAAAAACATTAAAACTATAATTTTTTAAACAAATGATAATTTAAAATTTACTGTTTAAAACACTCGGTATTAAAATATATGATAAATAGTCTTTTCCATAATACTTAGGTTATCACTATTGGAATATATATTATTCCTATAACTATAATTACAGCTATATATATATATATATATATATATATATATATATATATATATATATATATATATATATATTCTTTTTTTTTTTTTTTTTTTTTTTTTTTTTGATTTAATGATATTTACAGACATGGATTTGGCCATTGCATGGAATGTATAATAATAGTTAATAGTATAAAAGTAAATGAAACGGTATTAAAACTTTGACACATATAGGATAAAATAAATAAATAAGATATGTAGTAATGTTATTACTATAAATTTAAATCACACAAACAAATTAATTCTAGTCTTATTGCATAATTAACAATGTGTTCGCCCAGTGGTCGAAATTCGACCATAATCATTAAGAATTTGCGGAAAAACATCTAATTAAATGAAAAATAAATTCAATAAATAAAAAGTAAATCACGATTCAAAAATCCTCATTTATTAATAAGAACAACATTTCAATTCCAATTAAAAATCGAACTTAAACTAATTAAAATTATTTATAAGTAATACGAAATAGACTCAATCAAAAATATTTAATTTCAATTTTAATTTATGTGTGTTATTATTACAATAAATTATTGTTATGACTAAGCAAGTAAAAAATAAATTTAAATTAGCAATTTAAATCAATTTTTATGTAGAACTTCTCTGTAAACAATGTTCTGTTATTGTGCAGTACATAGCATTGCCCATTTCCATTGGGAATATAAATCTCAATCTTTTAAATGAACCTGCTCTACTTGCTGCAACATATAATTGTCCATGCGAAATTACTGGACGTCGCAATAATACACACATTTTTCCAAAACTTTGACCCTGTGATTTGATTATGGTCATAGCAAATGCAGCTATTAGTAATTCTTTGACATTCGAATGGAAGTATGGTCTCAGAAAATGTTAAATTAATTCTTGGAATTTAAATTCTTTTATTTAAAGGAGCTGCCGTTTGTATTTCACTCTCATTCGTGTTCCATTAACTAATGCTTGTGCAGTATTTAAGTTAAGAATGAGCACATATATGGAATTTTATTTTTAATTTAATATATGAGGTAACATTCAATGATATCTTCTCTTCAAATAATAGTCCCGATTACTTCAGTAAATGTTAAGTTTTCGATTTATCAAAAAGCAAAATAATGAAAATAGTCTTTGTAAAAGAAAAAGTAATAAATATTTAGAACTTTATATCTCTGCAAGAAGCAGTCCGATTTCGATAATTTTTTTTTTATTTTGTGTGGAATTCAGAAAGCTTTCAAATAAATATTGGTATTATCTAATTAATAAAAGACCCGATTACTTCAGTAAATGTAAAGTTTTTGATTTATCAACAACCAAAATAATGCAAATAGTCTTTGTAAAAGAAAAAGTAATAAATATTTAGAACTTTATATCTCTGCAAGAAGCAGTCCGATTTCGATAATTTTTTTTTTATTTTGTGTGGAATTCAGAAAGCTTTCAAATAAATATTGGTATTATCTAATTAATAAAAAAATGTGTACTTTTTGAATTATTCGAAAATAAAGTACTGAATTCATCAGACAAATTTATACAGCTTGTTTTCGGGATAGTATGTTATATACATAAATTATAAATGTTTTAAGGGGAAGACTTTAGCCAAGTTTCATTAAAATCGTTGCGGCCGTTTTGGCGCTACAGTCTGAAGCGAATTTCGAAAGGAAACAAACTCCTAAATTTCATTGCGACGTTGTGTCAAAATTTCATAGAAATCGGTGAAGAACTTTCGGAGATTAGCTGTCTTGAACAAACTACCGTTTATATTTTTATTTACATACACTATTTCATATTTTCATTTATTGATGACACTAAAGCTCGCCAATAGCTATTAAACAAAAAAAGAAAGAAGAAAATCGGCCGAATAATAGAGGAGAAAGGGGCTGAACCGTTTTGTGTTTGCCTATTTATATAATGATTATTACAATATCGATCCCGGATACAGCATTGAAATAAAAGATAGTTGGAAATAGCAACATAATTTCAAAATAAAAAATTATGAAATAATAACACTTAATTATAATATTTTTGTTATTTTCACTCAATATGTGGTAAGTTAAAAAAGAATTCCGTGAATATAATAGGAAAATTATATTGACAACTTTTTTATTTTTTCCATGTGAGACAAAGTTAAATGTGACAGTAAAATTTATTTACAAAAATAAATAGTACACATTTACCCCAATCTTACCAGGAACATATGACGTAAACCTTGTAATTTGGATAATACGAGTTGAAATAAATGAAAAATGAAAAAAAGGGTCGACATGAGTGAATCATAAAATCCTGGGATATTTTGCTCTAATTATCTTTGAATATAAACTAAAATTTCAATAATCGTAACAAAGGGCGTGGTAAAATACTTGCGTTCCCGATGGCCTTAACTTAGCCATCTAGTCGACTTTTCGTGTTTTCTAAACTGATTTTAGTTTTCATATTTTATTCATTGGTATACATTAATTATTATTGCTTTTGATTTTAATTTTGTACTTCGAAAGATTGGGAGTTCCCCTCTCTGTTTTTATTGTTGGGTGATCGCCATGTCAGAGGTCCATGACATTTGACAGCTTGTCATCTACAATTTAAGCCTACCCGTACATTTGCCATTCCTTGGTGTTCCATAATGAATTGTAAACCTATCTTGTGAAAGATCACAAGTGAATTAATTAATACAATTTTTTATCTAAGTAAAACAAAAGAAATATTTTTTGCTTTCAGGCACTAAAAGATGTTTTAGCAGAATTGAAGGTTAAAAATCCTATCTGGTTGCAAGGAAGCGAAGATGGTATCAAGTACACATTTCGTCAGGTAACATCAACTTTTCATAAATGAAACCGAAACTTTGCCACACTTTATTCACAGTTACCAATGTTTAATTGGAAAATGCATTTTAACGCTTGATTATTTTGAATTTAGACATTTTACTGATTAAACAACACATGTTCACAAGGAAACGTGTCGACATACAATTTAATGATTTCTGACTATTAAAAATAAAACGTGTAGTGAAACCAACTAGCTTTAGACCTTTACAGTGAATCTGATTTGATAAAACTTCCGGCTTGGATATATGAGAGGTATTCTTGCCAGGTCGGCTAGCCCCCGATTGCCGAGGGCCCCCTAACCAGTGAGGGTCCCCTCATGAGGGTCCCAAAGGGCCCATAAAAAATGTATCTAGGACCTAGTAGTATGTTTGGAATTAATTGTTTTGTATTCGTTGACTTCCTCCCGGGCCCCTCCTTTGGGCACAGAAAATCATTGTATTGTATTTAACTACTACAGTGGTATGTTTGGACCCAAAATTAATTGTTTTGTATGCGTTCATTTCAGCAAATGTTTGGGGTGATTCCTTCGGAGAACCCAAAAAATACTTGTTTTCTATTATATTATACGAGAAGTATAAAAAAAAAAAGTTGTTTACAGGGATGTAAATATCCTCGGACAGGCGCTGACCGAGCTAGACCGGGTCGCGTATTTACAAATCATATACAGATTCAGACACTGTCTGGATCTGTCTAGGGTTTGTACAACAAACTTTGTTGTAGTCCTGATAGCCCTGAAGCCAGAGCCCAAAAATCGACCTCATCACAGGCGCAGGTTTGAATGTAAATTACGAAAGTGTGTTATTTTAAGTAAAATGAAGTTTGCCTGCCGTTCCAGAGCCTGCCGTTTTAAAGAATATCATGCAGTAACTTCAGGATCGAAACGGGAAATTCATTGCGAATAATGTGAGAAAAGTTTTTATTTTTTAAACTTAAGTATGTGGGTTTAGGCATGTAAAAAACAAAATTACTAACGCGGGCCACCAAGGGAAAACTTTTTACAGCCGAAAAAAGTAAGATATTTTTTATATTTTTACTTTTTTTCATCTATAACTCCTAAACGATGCATCAAACAGAAAAATGTACTCTTTAAGAAATTAAAGAACATTAAATTTTGCGTCGAAAGAGTACCTAAACCTAGTAATTTTAATAAGTGGTATGGTAGAAAACCATGGTCAACTAACGCTGCTTTTTACCAAATTTGTCAAAAACTAAGACAAATTACTATAAATGACCCTATAGCTTGGGAATGAGTTTCCTAAGACCAAAATCCCATAGAATCAAAGTTGTAGAGTAGAAAATTTTAAGTCCACCGGCTACCAACACTTTTAATTTAGGTCATTTACTCAGAACAAAATCGATAATCTCCCGATGGTTAGAAATTGGTTATGAAGCTATGTTTGATTTTCAATATTTCGACAGTATGAGTATCTATTCTAGTGAGTTATTCTTGTTTAAAGTACGTTACATGCAGTATAGGCATCTTTTCCACCTCACAGCAGTGATGAATTTTAAGAAACGATGTGTCGAAAGATACCAAATTTAATGAAAATATCAAATCCCGATTCGAGATGTATAATTTACCTAAAATAAAAATATTAGGTCTGAGTGGACCCAGAATTTCCAATTCCAAGGAAATGAATTCCAATTCATTTCTAAGCTCCAGGGCCATTTAGAGTCATTTCTCTCTGTGTTTGAAAAATTTGGTAAAAATCAGCATTCGATATATATGTATTAAATAATTGTGAATTGATGGTTGACTGTAGTGAATAATTGAAGAAAAGAACGGTTGATCAGTAAAAATAAATGAGTATATTTATTTTTATTTTTGGAATTATTACTATTATTATTATTATTTTATAATTATTTTTGGATAATGGAAGTATTTTTGAACAACAGTGAAACACAAAAAAATGATAGCTGGGGCTCTGTCAGAAATAAAACTCAATAAATAATATTTTACTGTTCTTTATTTAATAAGTGTGTCATGTTCCTAACAACACTCCCACCATCTCTTAGATAAATATTATATGTTTGAATAAAAATAAAAGTTATTTTTGATTTACTTTGATTAAAATTAAATATGAATTGGCAAAACAGGTTCTATTTTATTTGGAAAATGGTCCAGAAACAGAAGAAGCCATCAAATTGTTAACTCAGAAGCAGATTGGAATTAAACCTCATTCATCCATAGGGTAATTAAAAATATGTATATTTTAAAAATATATCAATGTAACACTTGAAATAAGTTTTCTTCAACTTTGATTTTCTTATTGTATTACATGAAAGCTTATTATCATCTTTAAAGTTATTTTGTTAATTATATTTATTATTAATTGTGGGTTAATGGTTGACTGTAGTGAATAATTGAAGAGGATGATTGGGATGATCAGTCAAAATAAAAAATAGAAAAAGTAAATAATTATATTTTTTTTTTATATATATAAATACAATTATTTATTTTTACTATTTTTTATTTTGATTAATCACCCAACCATTCTTCTCTTCAATTATATTTATTATTCAATGAAAAAAAAATACTAATTTTAAGAGAAAATCTATCTACTATTAACACACTGATTGCTATATCCAAGCAACAGATAACAGTAAATAAAAAGGACTAAAAGTTGCTTTGAGCAAAACAATGCTCGTTATTTTATAAGAATGGTAAACCAGCACAGTACACATCATCCACATTTAATTTGTGACATTGATGCTATTCCAACATTTTGATTGAAAGCTAAATTGATCATAATATATTTATATTAAAATTAAAGTCTTGCAATCAGATGACCACTTTATTCCCACAAAAAACTTATACCTGTCAAAGTAATCCATGTTCTGTCTATATCATTATTTATTGTTTGTCATTGACATTTTTGGATCAAACATCCCAACCTCAAAAACTTACAATAAATATTGTTTTTATTTTCATCGCTTGATCAACAATTAAATAAATCAAATATATATATATATATATATATATATATATATATATAATTTTTTTTTTTTTTTTTTTTTACTATGCATCTCTTCTATTAGCTTTCTGAGAGGTGACCAGGATAACTTTGACATTTATAAAAATTGATTTTTGACTTCCTAGGAAATTGAAGAATATTTAACAGAAAAATATAAATATTTTTACATGATTTTAAGAAAAAGTAGAATAAAGTATTGATTGTTTGCCCTGAAGATAAATCTTTGTTGTTTTTTTAATTTTAAAAATTAGATTGTTTCAGTGCTATTTATTATATGAAGGAACAGATGAACAAAGCCCAAGAATCAAAATTTTCCAGTAAGTTCTCACTGTCATTAAACCAATTTTATAGTTCAGAACTTATATAATGTAATAATAACATTTTCATTACTTGCACAGGCATGAAGATGAATTTAGTACATGGGACAAATTTGTGGAATCAGTTAGGCCAAGGCTGGCTATAGCCCAAGTAGCTGAAACAGTCAAGTACAAAGCTTCTTTAAGGTTTGATTTTCTGATCCTACTGATTGTTGCAGGGTGCGTTAAGTATCATATGAAAGGATGATTTTAAAATAGAACAATATTCTTGGTTTGTTTTTTCAATGGCTTCATCATGAAATTAATTTAATTCTGGAGTAGTAAACTTTGGTTAATATTTTAAATTTTACAGCACAATATCATTCTAGGTTAACAGCATCATTAGGTTTAGTTGAAGACAACCAATTGATACTTGCTGCAAGTATGTTGATATCTCCACTAATGGTAAATATGTTACATAAAATTAAGAGTAATTACTTGAAATAAATTAAAGGAAATATTGAAAATATACCATTATTTTCATAAAAAAGTTTTATATTTTTATTCCCGTGAAATAAATAATGTTGACTTAACTACCAAACCATGTAACACACCAGAAATGGTGAAGTTATCTAAGTTAGTATATTTTGTTTGTCTTACAGAACCCAATGGTAGCAGCAACTTTCGGCACAGTGATTCGTGACTGCAGGCTTCAAAAGCTTGGAATTGTGAATGGTCTATTAGGATTGTTCCTTTGTCTTATAATAGGATTTATCTATGGGATAATCAATGCACTTATTCAAGGAAATTCACCTAGAATGCAATGGCCCACTGGACTAATGTATTCCATGTCAGTTTATATAGTTATTGTTCATATTTCATGATTTAATGGATCATGAATCGTTTGAAATGGAAATAAATTGATTTAATCCTAATCAGTATCCATAAAGGAATGATATTTTTAATCCTTTTAAAGGGGTTCTATCAGCTCTTTATGGACAGGAATAATGCTTGCGCTTCTCTCAGGAATTGCTGTATCAATTGGAATTCTTGGTGATGAACCCACATCAATTCATGGGGTAGCTATGTCGGCTGCACTTTTGCCTCCAGCTGTAAATGCAGTAAGTCATTGATGATTTTAAATTGAAATGTAATAAATAATTTTATCAATGGAAAAGCCATTTGAAAAAACAACTTTTCTAAGCCACTGCCAATAATGGCAGAGAACAATATAATCTAAATATAACACTCTAAAAATGTGGAGAAAAAAGTGAAAGTAAATAAATAATGGTAACTGTACCATAAATGATCCTTAATCATTTCCATCTCTAATTTTTATTCTAATAATGTGGTGAATAGAACAAGTTCTTTGTGAATATGATCTTATTATTTGGCTGATGATATAATGATTTCCCTGACGTTCAAATTAATCTGAAATATGCATGTTTTACATATATATAATTAATAATGTTTACCATTGAAATTAAAAGAAAATAATTTAACAAAAAAATTAAAAATTTAACCGATAAGAGATCTATGTTAATTTTTATTTTAAAGTTATTTAATATCATACAAAAACAACTGAATAATATTGGATTTTTTTTTTTAAATCAGGGATTACTTTGGTCAAATTCAGTAATTCATCTCAGAAATAACAGTTTCCCAGATGGCTCTCTGAAGATTTGGTCTTCCAACCCACCTCTGGAGTTTGCAGTCCTTGGAGCAATGAGCTTATCTTTATCCTTTCTAAACATTTTATTTATCTTTATAGCTGGAGTAGTTCTATTAAAGGTGAACATCCCAACTGCCATAGAAAGTTTACTCATTTATTTTTAACAAGATAAATCAATTCTGTTTAAGATACACTTCCATAGAAGTTCTTAATTCATACTTAAGAAGGCAGTTACTTAATACAAATATATTATAGAAATTGAACATTTCATTTAATTTTTCATTGTTTTTGCATTAGAAAATTCTAAAAATTCATGAAGAATCTTTTTTTAAGGAAAGTATCTTTTATTTTTGTTTTTGCTTATAATTAACACGTATATTTGCCTAATAGAAATATCATTGACCCTAAATCTAATCTAGTTGTTTGGAGGGTGCAATCAAGAAAAGATTAAAATAGTACTGTAAAAAAATTATTATTTTTCGAGTGCCAACAATTAGGCCTAAATTATAGCTTTTCATCAGAGCTAAGTAAAACGAGACACAACTTAAGAATGGAAAAGGATTAAAGTGTAACGTTTCCGTTCTGAGGGTGTTACTGCCACTCGTTACAGCATAATCAGACCACTTGTTCCCAAACTTCTGGGCTAGTCACTAAGCATATCTCATTACTCTTTTCTCCTTCTACTTCTAACTCCATCTCTCTTTCCCTTTTTATTTTTATTTTTTTTTTTTTGTTTCTATGTTTCAATCTACATCTAATCTAAATCTTTTGTATATCATGTTAACTTATGATTATCATCACATCTACATTATTGTGTTTTACTTTATATTCTCCCATTAATTTCTCACTATTTCAATTTTTATTTTTCATTTTCATATCACATACTACTACAATTTTTCATATATTTTCTCTTTATTTTATTACATCCCTACCTTTGAGTGCGGCCTTTTGGCAATAGAGAAGTCAGCAACAGCATTAAGCTAAAATTCATAAAACCGCAGTTGCCAATTTTCTCTATTTTATTCGTGGTTTCCTAAGACTTTTATTCTTGAATTTGTCTTCTACTGCACTTTCTCTGCTTCGGGGTCAACCTGGTATGTTGCCTCATCTTCTTCTTTGGGTTCTGAATTATTCAATTATTTTTATTCTACTACTGCAATATATATTATACTTAACATAATATTTAATTATACATATTATGCACATATAGTTATTTCTTTCAATTTGAATAATAGGTAAAAGAAGCAGCCCCTTGGAGAAAAAAGGGTGATATCAGATGGGAGAGATTAAAAGATTATCGCCCCCTTACAAAAGAGGAAACTGAAACAATATCAAACAGGTATAATCCAAACAATAAACCTATACTTATTCATAATTTGGAGATACTTTATTTGTTCTACTTTATTTTTATAAATTACTCAACTCATCAATTCAAATATACTGAAATAAATATCTATAGTAATAATCAATGCCAGTCTTAGACATTCGGCATCCGCGGGTAATGACATCATCTCCCCCTGCATATTGTATCCATTTATTGAAAATACATAATAGTACATCATCATAGCTGTTTCATACATAATAGTACATGATTTCCTTATAAGTGCCAATGAGTCATGATGTTAATATTTTCTCACAGTTTAAAATAATAAGATTAACTATAATGTTATTAAATAAATAAATGTTGATAAATAAACTTTTTATAACTCATGTTAGTAATTTTTTATAAGTTCTGGTTTTCAAAATTCTGCTATTTTCTTAAATTAAAGGATATTCTGAATTTGGTGTAAAATTTAAACAATGGAATAAAAATTTTTGTAATCATGCAAAATAATAAAACTTTTGTTTTTATTGTAGGATTGGCAAACAACTACACAGAATGAACCAAGAATGGACTGTTCCCACAAATATTCTTTCCCAAAAGGTATTTATGTAAAGAATTTTTTTGTATCTTATTTTTGAAAACAAAGAATTGATCTTTCAACAATTTCATTCTTGAAGTACGCAACATATTAGAGAACTTCTTACCAGTTTTATTACCAAAGATAATTGTATTAAAAATTTAGCACCATCGATCTTAAACAGTTTTCAAGCTCAATTTTCATGGGCCAGTTCTTGAACAAACTATTAGGCTTACTAAATAAATTAAAGGAGACTTCTCATTTTGATAATGTATTTTAAATACAAAATAAAATAAATTAAATGTGTTTCAGAAATAAAATAAAAAGATATTTCATTGTATTTTGTATTTTCAAAAGAAAATACAGTTACAAACACTGAAGTGGGTTCCAATTTCGGAACTTCTACAAAAATCAGATGGATAGATAGAATCAACATAGATGCAACAGAGCAGCGTGCAGATAAATGGAAAGAAATAGCCCAAGACAGGCAGAGATGGAGCAGGCATGTTAAGGTGGCAATACATCTACATGGTCTGTAATTCCAACAGGAAAGAGAAAAAAAAAATGCAAATTAAGTTACTAGCAGCGCAAAGTTTATAATCAAGTGTAAAAGTATAATCGTTGGTTTAGTGTTGAGAAATTTTTGTTAACAGTTTGACTATCTATATTTCTTTATATTAATTTTTGTGTTGTTGGTTTATTGTAAATTTTTGTGTTCAATTATTGCATCAACAAATCAATATAACAAAGTCCATGTTCATCCTAGACAACGTGGGTCTGACAAAATATTTTATATAATGACAATAAATGTGATGTGTTCCATGTATAATATAACTTCAATCAACTTAATAATTTTTTTTTCAGATTCCCAGTGAAATTGTTACATGGTATGCCAACAAAACAGATCTTACTAGACCTACAGCACAAGACATGACAAGACTCATGACTCCCCGCAGCCGTTGGTCAAGTGTACCAGGTAAGATATAGCAGTAGTATAATAATATTCAAGTTTAATAAATTTCAAGCCCTTCTAAAAAACAACCTTGTGAAAATTATGCTTGGCCAATTAACTTTTTTAAGTAATGAAATTTGGCAAACGAAATTAAATTAACATCCATCTAGCAGAAGAAATATCATGACTGCAACAGTATAAAATCAATTTTCACAAAAATTTACTGTGCCTAATGTACAAAAATGTAATCATGAATAGAGGATAACTAAGCTGTTTGTGAATAAAGAAATGTATTATGTACTAATCAGTTCTCAAACAATTCAATGAATTAAGTGTAGCTAAACAAGGAAAAGTATAGTTGTCTAGGAATACTAAAATTGAAATAAGTCAACTAAAATTTAACTATGAGTAATAATACTTCCTTTTATTTTCATTTACTTAATGTTTTATTTTTAAGATGAAAGGATTTATTATGAAACATTTTCATATTTTTTTTATTAGTAGGGTGGAACTTCAAAAATGATTGATAGTTGCAGTTTTGGATTAAACCCATGACACACTAACCATATATCAAACTCGATATATATTGTGTGTTAAACCAGAAATTTTTTTTTTTTTTTAAAAACATATTGTTTTTCCTGGGAGAAGAGAGGAAGAAGGAAGTTTAACCTCATTGTTATAATGATCAGTTAATTTTGAAAGAACTTGTAATGCATTTATTCAGAAGGTATGGGCTAGTTCCTAAACTCAGCACTAATTCCATCAATGGAATACATCTATCAATTGAATCCAGCACTGATGGGTGGCAATTTATGCTGAGTTTTGTAGCGATCTGCTAGATTCAAGTGGAAGGTAACAAAACATATGAAAAATAAAAAAATATATAAGGAACAGGCTCATGACATTGTTGAATTTTAAACGAAACTAAACATAGATAAAAAGTAAACTGATTATAAATATGTAAAGTAAATTGAGAGATAATAATGATAAAGTTATAATGAGGTTACATCCAGCGGATCCATCGACTAGATGAAACTGCTGAGCCATCGATGAATCAATCAATGGATAAAGTAATGAGCTAATTTCCATCGATGAGTTTAGGAACGGTCTGATAAATTTCTTATGCCATTGATAAGCTGAGCACTATTTAGGAACTTGCCCTATCTAAACATCCAATAGAAACAATTCACATATTCTTTTAGGAGGTTGAGGTTTCATCAACTTTTTTGAATATGGTGACAGTTTTTAATGAAACTGGATGCACTAAATATTATTGAGCATCTAAATAAAATAAAATTAGAAAAAATTTTCATAATTCGATGACAACAAATTTTATAGACGTGATGTTAGTATATATATGTTTTCTGCTGGAGAATAATAGTCGTGTTCATTGAGTGAACAGCCTAATATTTATGTAACTTTTTTATTGTTGTTTTTTCATTCACATCCTGCAGAGATGTAGAGAGCGAACACTAACGGAACATTGTGATATTGAAAATTACATTTTTAGGATACAGAACTATTACCAGAACTTAAGAAACTAATATAAGAAGATACTAATACCTTATTACTATTTATTCTGTTAAGGATGTGTTACGCCAGTTTAAATTACAGTTTCCAATCTAACAAACCCCATTTATATTCCATCTTGAAAAAATGTATCGGGAAAAATGAATTTGTTTAAATTTGTATGACCTAAAAAGTCAGGGCTCTACCTTATCTTTAATAAAATCTAAAACGAAATTATAAATATTTGTGATGTATACAGAATTGAAGCTGAATGTGTTGTTGTTTAAGGTATCAATTTAAATGAAAAGTGAATAATACAACTTAAATTGACTCAAATCACTCCACTGTCTAAATTATATTAAAAGAACTGTGGTTATTACAGGGCATCATGAAATAAACACTATCAGCCCAGGGACATCCCCCCGTAGGAGTACTGCACAAATGCAGACACCTCAGAAATCAAGATTTACAGTTGTTCCTGTTTCAATGTAAATTAGTAATTATTTAATTTATTTCATGTACATGATTTTAATAATGGGTAATTTCAGTTGTAAAACTGACTAATTCTAAACTTTAATTGAAATACACTTCTTCTTACTTTTAAAAATTATAATTTTAATATATTAATAATTTGTTGTGTTGAATTTTAACATTAATTACATTTTATATGTAATACAGAAGATAAATAATTCTTACAATTTTAAATGTTCTTATGCCTCTTTAATAAAGTAATATTAGTTTGAAAATTAGATGAATTGGTTATTTTGACTTAATTGAATCACTTTTTCAGACACAATGAATGCATTGCTCGATTTTTTTTTTTTTTTTCATTTATGTAACAATTACTCCATATCTATAGTTTTAACTTTGAAAGAGGATAAGAAAAGATGAAAAAAAGAATGTAAGTATAGTTCAATTGCAACATATAATTCCTTGTTATGATACTTTTTTATCGCTTTTATATTTTTATTTACTCAAATAACTGTGACGCCAAAGTTAACAATAGGAGCTTTATAACTCCAAGTTAATCCTTCATATCAAGTCATTCATTATCTTGTCATATCATCTTATATATTTCTTTATAACATCAATGTTTCAGCCTATATGCTTTTATCAAGGAAGAATATCATATGCCTATTGATGGTTTTTTAATTTGATAAAATGATTCTTATGAGGATCCATCAAAAATCTAAACGCCTAATTTAACTGAAATGTTCTGTCGAACTAAGGAACGTTGGTACGACAGCTTCTCTACATATGATGTTGATGTTTATCACATCATTCCTCTTTTAGTCTAATTGTGGTTTACATTCTAAGTAGCTAATAGAAAAAACAATGCATTGCCATCCTCAAAAACATCGAATCTTGTAGTTTTACAACTCAACACATTACTTGAACAATGATTAGTTTGATTTATATTATTTAAGAAATTGTTTCTTTAAGTAACCAACAATACGAAATTTAGCTTAAACGTCAGGTTCAGAAAAGTAACATGTAAAACACTTGTCCTAATAGCACCTTCTTACTATGCAAAACATAACTACTTTATTAACTGATTAATTTTTAAAGGTGGGGATTGGTTAGAATCTGAAGCATCTTTATAAATATATACCATACAAGTTTTCACAGGGAAAAATAACACCCTAAAAACTGTAAAAATAAGTTTATTAAGTTTTTAAATTAATAATTAAACATAATTAAAATTAAAATAATGAGGAAAAAACACAATTACATTTATATAACTAAAAATAAAACAATAATTTGTTACACAAGTAATGTATATATCATGATAAAACAATGGAGGGAAAATTACAAAATTATTAGATAACAGCAGTTTAATAAAACAATCATTTAGAATAATTTACAATTACAATCAATTGTACAATTCTAAATATATATATTTTGTAAAATTAACCTAATACTTTGTAAATGGAAAATTTAGTTAATTAATTTAAAAGAAATACAAAATTTCTTTGCTTACAAAAATCAATCAAATATATTTCATTATAGTTCACATATTTTCAAGCAGGCTGAACTTCTTTATACAAGTATGAAATGTTGTTAACTTCTTTTAAAATCAATCAGTGCTTATGTCGATGCCTGTAAATTTAAGAATGTAGTACTATTATTTTACTACATGTATGTACATATAATATTTTTAAAAACTCTTAAATTAAGTAGAATCCCATTAAGGTGGTAGTCTATACATTGGATTTAAAGCAAAATACAAATCGTTGGTCAAACATTGAAATCGTGACACTGATGTAATTTTTACAGCACCACATCATTCATTTTAACTGATAAAAGTTTTGTATAAATTTATACAAAATATATTATACAAAGAAATAAATAATTTATTACCAAGAATAACCTTCAAAATGACAAAATAAATAAATAAGCACAATATATCATTTGAAAAAAAACTTTTTCATTTGTACAGTGAAAGATGTTAGGTTCATAACAATGTAAAAAATAATCAATGCATAAATTTCACTTGTTTTAAAAAAAGTAACAAAGATTAGTACCTGCTTCGACTCCTATTCCTATGCCTACTATGGTGACTTTCCTTACTACGGTCCCTTCTGTGATGTTCACTGCTACTATTATGCCTTCTTTTTTCTTCACTACTTCTTTTTCGTCTCTCTTCGCTATGTCGTTTTCTCCTTTCCTCGCTGTTTCTTCTACCACGCCTTTCTTCACTACTTCTTCTTCTCTCAGGAGTTCGCCTCCTATCATCTAAAAGTCTGGTCCTATCCCTCTCAGTAGCTCTCCTAAATGAATAAAAAAAAATAATACACATTAATATTCAATATATATTAGCTTCGTATGTTGGGAAATGAGTCATAGTACGAATTCAATTCATATAAATGCATAAGTTATAAGTCTGATTATTTACAATCAGAATTAGGGCCTCACATCCACCAGATATGTAAAACATGTAACAAAAGCAATATGTAATAAAACTAGATCCCTGTCGTGTTTTACCACATAATCATTTGCAGCAACTATCTATCCATTAAATGACTGTTTGTTAAACAGTTTACATATCTAATAAATGTAAGGTATAAAATCTGTAGTGGAAAGAGACATTGTTATAATAATCCAACAGAATATCATGAGTTAATATAATAATTTGTTTTAAATTTTGATAAATTGATAGGCTGCATTGGATAACTGTTGTACACTTGATAATTGATTCAAACTGGAATTCACTAATCACATTAAAGTTCTAGGAAGGATCTCTAATGAAGAGCTCTAAAGTACTATTGAACAGCTTCCTAACCTCCTTGCAATAAGGAAAAGGAAATGGAAATGAATTGAACACATTTTAAGGAAAGCTGTAAGAAAGAAAAAAATAAATAAATAAACCTGTGATATTTTGGGAATGTACTGTTACAAGGACAAAGGTCGTATAGAGAGGGGATCGGGCCAGGATCTCGCTCAACTGCCCGGTTTTCCCCCTTAATTATTTAATTAAGGGTACTCACTTTTTAGAGGCTGGGTGTGGCCCAGGAGGGGCACCCCATGGTCGCCTCACAGCCAATGAAACAGAATAAATAATTATTCTGCCACGAGCCGGGATTCGAACCTGGGATCTTGAACATTGGAAACTTAGTGGCCTACCACTGAGCTCTCCCTCTGCTAAAGCAGGAAAACAAATATTACCAGACAGAAAGCAGACAGTGACATCGAAAAAGAAGCTCTTCAATGGAATCCCTTAAAAACAAAAAGTGAAAAACCATGATAAATGCGGCAAAAATCTTTAAAAATGACCTGAATTGGGACGGCAAGACTTGGTAAGAAGCAAAAATGATTGCTGTAAAAAGAGCAATTGCTAGAATGGAACGCACTTGTAGATGCCCTATGCTTCACCAGCAGTCAATGGTGAAAATAATAATCAAGGATATCTTTTAAGCAGCTTTTCTCAATCTAAAAGTCAAGGGAATCTCTGATAATTCAGTGCATAACAAAAATCATGAGTAAGGACCTTAGCATAATTATTGTTGAAATCTAGCAATTACAGTATTCCACTAAACTTAGTATTGTAAATCTGGTAGTATTCAAAGAATTAAAATGATAAAAAGAGGTATAAAGCTGCATATAAAAAAGGGTATGCTTTCAGTACACCCTGAATAGAGAAAACACTTTTATTTCCTCTTCCAAAATTTATGTGGAATGGATTTCTCTTCCTCTTCTTTGTTTCACTCCTGATGAAGACCTACAATTTGTGTATAAAAGGCAGCATTTAATAGAATTTCCGACAACTATTTAAAATAAAAATTTATTTAAAAAGAAATTATTAATGAAAACCTATTTTTTTCTGAAACTAACTGGAATTTAAGAAAAAGAAAACATAAAATGTAAACAAAAAAATTAGCACAAACAGAGCAGTCATACAAAGATCCTTATTAAAGTTCTTATTATCAGATAGAAAAAAAGCCTTATAAACATTATAGAACCTTATTTGTTTTTTAATTATTAATACTCCAAGACTTTGTGAGTAGCATAATTTTAATGTAACCTACAAATTTCTATCAACAAGAAGTCTGGCCCGGGCACAGTTTTAGATCGGCTCTGTTTTCAACTTCTGTATGTTAAGTTAAAGTTGTTCTTTTCTGAAGGTTTTTAATAAGTACAATTTTTGGTAAAAGTCTGTGATTTATATTAAAGATTGTGCCAAAACGTTTTGGTTGTGGTCTGAAAAACATTGAAGCACAGAAGAACATAGGAAAATAATTTTCTAATGTTTCGCCGCCTTTATCAGTTAATTTTGGCAAGAAATACCATGTCCGCCCCACCTCGCCAACTACCTTATCCTAGGGCAGACCAGCCCATACAAGCTGTTTTTGTTATTTCTAGATTCACCAACTCAAGACGTCCTGTCAAACATATTCTTTTTTATATCCATGAAATTACTTCATCATTTAACACATTTCTGGTAAATTACAATGACAGTCATTAATGAAGATTTATTGGCCATTATTAACCACAATAAAAAAGAAACTAAATCAACGCTATATAAGATAACCCTAATTCTTGATTCCTTAATGGGTGAGAGATTTCTGATCTCAAGAAGAAAAATACTGTGTACGTCTCAATCAATTCCTGGCACATACTAATTTGATTTGTGGAACAGTCAGAAGGATCTGAAATAGCAATTATTACACCTTGCGAGTCAATTAGGACCACAACTTTTTGCGGTTTAGACTTTTTTTATCAGTTCTAACTCTAGAAAAACTGCTTTTACTTCGCTGTCAAAGTTACTTGTTTGCTTTCCCACAGGCTCTGACATTTGAAAACGTCCTGCATAAAAACCACCTCCCCATCCTTTCTTACTCTATTCGCAGAACTGCCTCTTAACACATGTCACCATGGGGGACTGGGATACCTTTCCTTTTTGGTTTCAAGTGCTAAATTCCTTAGTTCTAACATAGAGCAACTTTGCTTGTTGATTGGTTGTAGGAGCTGTAAATTGATTTGTGCTAACTTTGTAGAGACCCTTGGTTGGATCGTCATGAAATTTTCTCTTGAAGAAATAACAAGTTCATTCATTTCTCTAATTGTCTCCAATTTCTTCATGAATGTGACTTGTGACAGGTTTACATTCCTTCCAGTAGTCAATTTCCAAATGCATCAGTTTCTCACTCATTGTTGGCGCAGTGATCTCATTTCGTACCTTGATGGGTTCTATGCACATTTGAAGCTTCATAGCTGTGACAGGTGTTCATTTTGGGGCGCCAGTAATAATTTGAAGGGCCTTGTTTTGCACTTTTTCAAGTTTTAGGGTGTAAGGCTCTGGTGCTGTTATCGAGTAAATCACTTCCATATTCAAGAACAGGTTTCACGCAACTTTTATATGCCATCGTCAGAACGTCTTGGTTTGCTCCCCACTTCATACCAGTGATCCTCTTAATCAGGCCAAGAGATTTTTCATGTTCTCTACTCGATGGTCTGTATGCTTTGCCCAACTCAACCTGTTGTCTAGTACTACTCCAAGGTGTTGCTGAATTTGTTTGTTTTTAGGTGTTCTTGTGCATATTTTAAAGTCATATGATGTTCCTTGGTCGAGAGTGAGAAGAGCTGAAATTTGGTTTTCAAAGTATTAACACACATCTCGTTCTCATCAGCCCATTTCTGGAGTTTTCAAGTGCTTTATTTAAGCAAACTTCTAATGCTTCTATATGACTGTTCGTTGCCCAGAGTAAAAGGTCGTCAGCATACATAAGTACTTTGATTCCTGGTATAGACTCAAGGGTCTGTATGAGGTCATCTATCATTATGCAGAATAGGAGTTGGGCTAAGGATCGAGTCTTGCGGGAGACCCTGTTTTGTCTGCCAGTATTTGGATGTTCCTTGTCTATAGCTGACATGAGTAAATCTTTGGCCTAAGAAAGATGCAATATATTTAAACACACTGCCTTTTACGCCTTTTTTTAATAGCTTTTCGGGAAGTTTCTTCCTCCAAACCCTATATCAAATGCAGTTTGGAAATCTACAAATACTACGAGTGAACTTAGTTTGTGGTGATATCCATCTTAAATGTCCTGTGATAGCTGTATAACATGTTCTATGGTGCTTCGATATCGTCTAAATCCTGCTTGTCTGTGTGAAATGAGCCTACGCATTTCCATATGAGTTTGTTATCTCTTCAGTGCCATATTTTCAAGCAGCTTGCAAAAGATTAGTTAATACTACAGGTCTGCTATTTTCCACACAATCAGTAGGTTTTCCTTTCTTAATGATGGGGTTAATCAGAGTTTTATTAATACTGTTGATTGTGAAATTGCTAATCTTCGTAGTGTTTATTTGTGGATCAGAGGTAAGAAGCTTATTTACATGTTTCATAGGATTATTGAATGTATATTTTGCATTATTTAGTCGGGATAAGAATTTATGCGCAGCTGTTCCATCTTTTTGGTAATCTAAATTTTGGAGAAGCGGCTTTTGTATGAAGTTCTTTTAGCATGTATTATATTTCTTTTTAATAATGCACTCTTATGCTTTAACACCAAAATATCTAGCTTCTCATTCGAAAATGGGACATACTTCTTCGCTCTTCCTCTTGGTACTGTTTTCCAGTACACTTGAAGTAATCTTGTTAAGAGAGGAGTCAGGGTTCCCCGCGATGAGTTCTAGAGTGCTCATCAGTTAGTTTGGAGTAACTATATTTTCAAGTTTCAAAATATTTTACAAATGAAAATTATAATCCTATATCTAAATGTAGCTGTAAATATAAATAATAAAGTTCATTATACCTCACCTGAATTCAGCATCTCTATCTCTAATTCGTGATTCTGATTCTGATTCTCGAGGTTTCTGACTCATACCAGCAGGATACCTAGCTGTCATATTTTTTTCAATCTTTTGCTAAAAAAAAATAAATAAATGATAGCTCATGGATCTTGTAAACCTAAATCATTTCACTACATAAAACATAAATAATTTTTTTTAATGAATATTAATGAAAATATTAATTGCCAGTGGCAACTAAATTATGATTATAAATCCATTCACTTTGTAATATTAACATTATATATGAGTCAGAGATAAAATATGATCTGCACTAATCAATGAATAATTAAAAAAATAAATAATTAATACCTGAATGGGAACAGGAATTCTGGGGAAAAGTGTTGAAAACCATTCCAACTTACAGAGGAAGTTTTTTAGTATATTTCCTATGGTCATAACTTGGCCTCCCCCAGCCTTGACATCAAGTTCCTGTCAAAATAACATATAAGTAATAACAATACTTTTAAATACTTAGCTCTTCATTCAAGCTGAATGTCGCATAGTCCCAATGTAAAGTTTTGATTAATTTAAATTATAAACTACTTTTATTAGACATAAATAGAGATAACTATTAGTGAATTACGGAACATTTAAGTGATATGCCATTGTTATGGTATATTTAGAAAGGTTATGAATAATACCTTTACAATAAGACTAAATGTCCCATCGTCTAGATAAATAAATAAAATGTATTCACACCTTACCTCGTTGTCGTCAAGATATTCATCATACCAATCCCAAAGATCCGCAGGTGGTTGTGTATACCTAGAAAAATAGTACTATAGTCAAATTTGATGATAGCATAGTTATATTTCAACAAATTTAGTCTCCCTTCATCAATTCTTATCATAGATCTCAATAGTTAGACTTACAGGCATCTAAGAATAAGTATATTTTTTTTTTTTTTTTTTTTATATCATTACCCAGGATTATATTATCAAAACCAAATAAACCATTGCTATCTATTACTGTGTAATTTAAATACAACACTATTTTATACCTATAGACGCTTTGCTAATAAAATTTCAAATTATCATAAAATAAACATGTCTGCCATGTAGGGTCCAGCCAGTACAGCTTCCTCCTGTTTCTGCAGGGTATTGAAGAAAAATAAAAATTTTGTTTTATTTATTCATTTCAATAAGTTTCAGAAAATTATATAATTAAAATATTGAAATTTTCAGTTTATTCATTGTCATAAATGAATGTAACTTTTATCTAAGTTTATTAATATCATTACAATTCTTCCTCAATTTTAAGAGTAAAAGAAAAGTGGCTAATCGAAATGTACTATTGCATAGTAGACATTAAGTTGAATATTAACAAGAAAATCAAATTGAACATGACCATCTAAAGTAATATAATCATATAAGATCATGTGAAAAGTATCTTAATTTCTATTAGACCCTATATTATCATTTGATTTATTTAAACGTTGTTTAAATTTATATTCAAATAATGTTATACTAAATCTTATGATGATTTATGATCTACTAGTGAAGAGTATTAAATGAAATCTAAAAAAACCTCCACAAGGTGTGATGTCAAACCAGTGTCAGCTGTTAAATGTGGAATCCTTATCAATAAGCCTGATATTGGAGACATACATACTTGGAACCAAGTCATGGTGACATAAATGTAAATCACATGTGAAAATTTTTGATTCTAAGAAAAAAATCTAGCTTCCCTGCCTTCAGTCGTGATGAAACAAAATATTAACAAAGCTTACTATTAATAGAACTGCTTCTCTTAAAACTGGAAGTTAATTCTATAAGTAACATAATTTTATTATAGAAGATACAAAGAGATCCTAATTTTGGAGTAATATTACCCACAAGTTGTTCTGAATCTCAATTTCTTTATTTTATAATATGCAAACAACAAAAACTCTAAATGGTTGCTACTGGATTAATGACACTTTCATTGGATTTGTTTACACTATTAACAAATATTCACACTGTAAAATATAGACAAGCCAAATCTTTCACTGCAATATTTAGGAAAAATAACAGAATAATGGATTTTGATAATTGGTCCCAGTTTCAGGTATTTTCATGGTGCTTAAATTATGTTTCAAGAGTGAATTTTTTTGTTGACAGGGAGTTCAAAAAAATAAAATAATAAATAAAAATTAAATTCCCAGGCTGGATTCTTTACTTAAGATTGTTTCACAAATCAAAAAGACTTAGATGAGGAGGAATGTTATATTTAATGAAGATGTGGCTTATATGAAGAAGATCGTCATTGTGAGTATCATTCAATATGTATCTTTCTTGAATGTAATCCATTCACTGACGTCAAGTAATTATAATAAAAACATTAGTTCAAAAACAAGGAAAATTAAGATAACGTATCTAAGGATGATTTCAAAAATTGTAGTGAACTAAGAAAAATATATGCATGAGGCCATACGAACATATAATGACTCTTATTCAATTACTGAAAAATTATCAAACCCAACCTCTGACTTATTCTGGTGCTTCCTTCCCAAGGAATTGTTCTCAACCAACAAGAGTGACTCACCCTGTAGCTTAAATGGATGTGACTTACTGTAGAAGCTTATAGGTAAATAACTGCTAATAATGGGGAAGCATGTTGGGAATCAGCCTGTCAGTAGAGGACAGCCTCTCCAATAGGTTTTCGGTGATCTTTCCTCATTTGCCCAAGAACAAACCTTATAACAGTCAAACAAATTAGCAACCTGAGGATTACATGAATAAAAAAGAAAGGACAATAGTAAAATAATAATTCAGGAATATATTTTAATCGATTCAGGAATGATATTGAAAAAAAAAGAATATTTAATCTACCTCTAAAAGATGCACCAATCTAATTAGCAATAAATAGTCTGAAAGAACAAGATTCTGAACTGTCAAGTTCATAAGAGAAGAGAATTATACTTACCACTCAAGGTCTATGAACCAATAAAAAAAAATACAATAGAAAAATAAAATTGAAAGAAAGTTTTAAAGACCATGGAAAGACCAAGTCACACATAAAAAAACAATATGCAACAAAGTGAAAAGATAATAGCATAGTTGGTAGCATCTCTTAAACCAGATAGTACAGCCAAAATAGACCAAAAATCAAATCATTACCAAAAGAATTAGGAATGAGTGTTGAATTACAGTTTTTGGTTAATTTACTCTGGTGCTAGGCAAAATTTTTGTTTGGGCTAATGTCTAGGCCTTGGAAACACTTTACAAATTACCTTCTCTAGCAGATGAGCTAGTCGTATGTGCAAATAAATGCAGAAAATTTCAGTTTAATCCACATAAAATACATGAAAAACTGAGAAATATCAACATCATAATAAATTTCAGTAAAACCCAACTCATGAGGACTGAAAGAAGAAACAAACCCTTATGTTTAAGATGGAATGGAAAGAGTTAAAGAAAGCAATGCACTTTAACAAATTGGTACCCACCTCACCGAAGAGAGATAGATTAATAATAATTAATAAATTTATAATTAACATCTATAAGTTATGAGGTATTTAATACAGATAACAATTCTTATAAGCATGACATGAATGGATGATATAAAAGAGTTGATTGATAAGCAACAAAGGGCTGATGTTTTCTAAATCAACTAAGGGAAAGGATACAAAATAATACGATTACTGACGAATTACTGATAGTTCAAATGAATTACAGTCAAAATACAGAAAAAAAAATTCTTAACAATTTGATTAAGTTTAATGATATTCACGAAAAACATTGAAAAATAGAATAAATAAAGATACCTTATGTACATAAATCCCAAAGCTCTGATGTAAGGCGAGTCTGGATGGGTGATGAGTCCATTGAGTTGTTTCCGAGTCAGTTTGAGAGTAAATAGTTTATACAAGAGGCAATATGCTGTAGATACTATACCACCCGCACCAACTCCACGGACCTACACAAATATTAAAATACTTCACCACAAAATACCTTAGTTATTAATAATAACAAAATTACTGCATCAAAAAGCTTAAACTTTTATTTTTTATAATTATATTTCCACAAAATCTGAAGACTAAAAACATTTAAAAAGTAATTTATAACCACACTAAAACTAAAACAACAAAAGTAAAGTTTATATAAAATAATGTGTCAATATTCTTACAACCATAATGTGTGACTTTGGCCAATAATTATTAGCGTAATCAAACTCACACTATAAAAATTAATCTATATATCTAAAATATTACTTTGTTTATATATTTTAGACATTTAGATTAAATTTTATTTTCGGGTCAAAATTTAGGCATTTAATTAGGTCATAATTTAGGCCAGGGCCTGTTATTAGACCTCAGTAGTCTCAGGTATAACATAATTTATTATAAAATCATCCAAATTTTTGCCAATTCAGGCATCTTCTGAAGGCAAAATTACTATCTAAACTTTTAATAAAGTCTGTTTTTCATTATAATCGTTAAAAAATTATTTTTTTAATGTTATAAATATACTATAAGTGTAAGCCTGTGCTAAGTGGCACACCTTATAGTCAAGTCAAACCTCCTGTTAAAGAAATAACACACAGATCAACGGCCAAAAAGCATTATTTGGATCCAGAGGGCTCAGAAACATAAAGATCCGGTATAACTAGTGAACATGAATGAATTCATAAATTTAGCTATAACATCATATGTATCAAAGAACAAAAAACTATCAGACGATGTGCAGTGTCAGGTTTTACATTAAAATGTTTGACTTACATTAATTTAGATTAAAATTTTAATATACTTAATAAATCAAGAATTTTCAATAACATATAGAAATATATATGATGACAAAAATTAATAAGTGGCTCATCATACATATTCAGACAGATGGAAAATTGAGTATTAAATGTTAATTTTGGAACTCTGGAAACATCCCCAGTGTTGACATTTTAATAAGTCAAACTTGAATCAAACAGGGCTGATGAAATAATAAAAGCAAATATAAATCCATATCAGCAACTAACCTTTTCGGGTTAATTAAGGAAATAAATCTCGATATAATTTGATAATTACAGTATACAATATTGATACTTGCATTTCTAATAAATAAAAAAATAAAAAAGAACTAGCCTTCTTTGCTAGAGTAGTAACTCAAATAAAAGTGAAAAAAGATACCTACACCGCCGCACATGCCTGTTTGGCCAGCTGTTTTTCGACTTCCTTTTTCCCAAGGTTCAAGGTGGGCAACCTTATAGTAAATTTCATCAATAACTTCATGATATGTTTTTAATTCATACAGGTTAACTAAAATATAATAAAAACCCTTCATTACTATTAAAACAGACATATTACATATATATATACCAATATGAGGAAATGAATATATACAATTTATTATGTTATATTTCAAATGTCCATACAAAGTAATTAAAAATTAAAACCTTTAAAGTAGTGAGATGACTGAATATTAGTTAGTATAAGGGGATTCAGGTTCATAGTGCGATCATTCCCCCATAAGGGTAAAATATTACTCTTTTTAGGGCCAGAATTCACATGTTTGGGTTCTTCTTCTTCTTCACAAGCACCTGAAATACATTTTTTACGTTATCTAAAATAATAAGACAAACAACTAATCCTAACCTAATTGAATGTAAACACACAGGTTAAGGTTATACAAACTCTCCTTTAAACATAGATAAAAAGATATTACATGTTACGGGAAAAAAATTGTTTATTTATCCAATCTAAGATTACTTAACAGTATGAAATAACATTACAAACCTTCATCATGATACGTTGACTTCATTATTGCAAAATCAGATATCTCACTAATTGACCAAAATCTCAACGCTTAATAAGTATATTAAAATTTTGACTATTAATACAAATTAAAAACTATACTCGAATGGCATACTTTATCACAATATTACTACTCCATTACAAACAAATCCCAGCGACGAAGAAGCAAACAGACAACCAACTTGTAACAACAGTGCCTTTTGGATCGGCATAGCAACAGATGAGAATAAATCACAACATGACCATAGAGGAACTCACTTAAAATAAGAGAAAATTTCGGAAAACAATAAATACACCGTTTTAATATCAATCTTTACAGTTTTTAGTAAAATCTGATTTATTAGCCTTAATTAACTTTTAACACGCTTGGATTGAATTATAAATGGCATCAGTTCTTTTTCTATTATATTAACAAGCACAATACAGTCTAGTTCATTTGATCTGTTGATGTCCTGACCGAGATTCGTCAAAAAAATTAGTTTAGTTTACCAAAAATATGAACCATAGTTTTACACACGAGGAGGTCTGAGCACGTTGAGGATACCATAATACAATATTATAAGAGGCGAGGATTCGATCTCCGCAGTTTCCAGAAATAAGGAATCTTTTCACTTCCTCATTGATTAGTACAATATCTCTAGAATAGGTAGTAGCATAGGTAGCCAGTCGTCAAAGGTTAGCAAAAAGTGTTACAAGACCCTCTTGGTGGAGTGATCCGATTTCGATTAGTAGTTTGTCATTTAGGAAATTGAATTACCTTTAAAATATTTGCCTATAAAGTCTATAAAATAAAAAAAAATAAAAAATTTATTATTTTTTAATTATTCACAAATAAAATTCTGTGTTCATCGTAAGCGTTTTGGAGAACACCAGGATAGCTTTTAGGAGAAATGCGTTAAATGAGAGCCTTTTGATACCAACGTGGTTGTAAATCTCTGTAGTTGCTGCAACGAAGTCATAATATAGTATAAAATTGAAGATTTAAATGTTAAATGTATTTATCAAATTTTTACAACGAAAAATCTACTAATTATGGACTATGCCCAACGGAATGTTTTCATTCCTTCATATTTACATGAGCATTGTTCCGTTTCCTTTATAACTCATAATTTAGGGAGTCCACTTTCCATTAGATAATAAAAATAAAAGATCTAGTGAACCCGAAGGTTCGATGCCGACGTCACCAATCGCAGTTCTCACACTTCCCTCTACTGGTCGACGTCCAAATCCAGCCCAGCCAGATGAGCCCACTTTCCATTTCAATTGATAGATATTTCAAATGAAATATTTTAAAATGAATGCAGAAATATTTTTGAGTAAACAATAAAAATTAACTAATTAAGTAGATCCCTTTACGTTTTGCTCAACATGAAATAATGGGCAAGTCCTAAACTCAACGGTGTAACAGTGGGCTATTTCCAAAACTCATCATTGTAACAGTAGACACGTTTTTTAACTCACCGAAGTAACACTGGGCAAGTTTCTAAGCTCATCAATGTAACACAGGGCAACTTCCTAAACTCATCAATGTAACAGTGGGCAAGTTCCTTAACTCAGCGTTGAATATCGGAAATTAATTAGTGGATTACAGCTGTTCAAGAACTTTCCCAACATTATAATATTTTATACTTGATATACTTTCTCGGTTAACACTTAAAATACTTCCTAATTTAAATACAATGTATACAACGAAATAATTGGTACTTTAATACTGTATTCTTTATATAATAATAATAATAACGAGTGTCCACTCCTCCCCTCTCTCCCCCAATGGCGCAAGAACCTATCCTCTCGACTTCCAAGATATTGTATTGCTCACTTTTTCTTAAAAACAGAGTAGAGTTAAAAAAATGAAGATCATATACAATAATACTTTTTTTTCCGTCCCCACTTCCTCGCCTTTTAGACTATATGGGATTTTCCCGGGTCAGGGAGTGAGGGCGAGAGATTAAAACCAGAGTTAAAAATCCTACTCGCACCAGGACGCGAACTCGTACTTATTTTATTCCGCATAAACTTCCGCTACTTATCAGGTAGCCGGACAACGCGCGGTGCTGTGCACACGCGTTGGCTCGAGCGGCCATCCCGTATCTATATACAATTACACTTGCTGCGGTCTGTTCCATGTTTTTCACTTGTCCCTTAGTATTAAACATCATTCTGAAAATTCATAAGCCCACCAAAATATGTCCTCTCAAAAATTTTAACGGAGCAGCTTGTGCTATCAAACCCTCTTCTGGGCATCTCTGATAATAACCTTAGTAAAAAATAATAAATCATGTAGCTAAAATTAAACAGGTATAAAATAATTCTTAAGATGCGCTTAGACATTTCCCAAACTACGAGAAAAACAATTATCTAATTCAACTGACTGCTTCCAAAAATTCATTAAGAGCTGGAGTAATGCAGATATCGATTCTTGCACCTTTACTGTACATTAAATACATACATGACTTAAAAATTTATCCTAACATATTAATTGCAACCTACGCAGATGACACTGCTATTCTCATATGCTGACATCATACAAGAAACGCTGAACCTAAAACATTACAAATATTACAGGAATGGTTTAAAAAATGGAAAATTAAACTCAACAGTGATAAAACCCAGTACATCAGCTTAAAGATCCAATATGGCACTTCTTCTCTAGTTTATATAAACAATGTTCCCATACAAAAGACTAACACAGTACATTACTTAGGACTCACGTTCTATGAATGAAAGATCTAAAAATAAGACAGGAACTAAATGCTTACACTTACTAAAACCCATATGAACTTATCCATCACAAATCTATGGGATACCTAAAATGACTCAAATTCAAAAAATACATACTTTCCAATCAAAAACTTTAAGTTCTCTCGTATATTGGGCTCCTATATTTTCTGTGATTTAATTAAATACAAAGGTCACTCATGTTTCGCTACTAAATGAAAATATTATTTGAATAATTTCTACGAAAAATTATGAGATTAAACTTGGTTAACACGTAAAATATGTGACCAATATAAGCAGAGAATATATATCGTCGGCTAATTTAAACAACTATATCAATGTCACTAACCACATCTTTGCTTGAAATGAACTTTTAAGTACATTTTCACTAATTTCGAACTTATTTACCGATGAGAAGTACGTGCACAATATTCTGATCTCACCGATATGTAACGATATCTTAATTTGTGCCATCATTTTGGTTTAACTTTTAGGCCTTTGTCAGGATGAGAGTTATAGGGATGTCACTAGTGTCTTGTGGGCTGAAACATTAGCACTGAATAAAATAAGTTGGATCCATGAATGAATTATTTTTACGGTAAACTATACCTTTCACCAATGGACAGAAAAATAAATTATTCAATTAAAATTGTTTCAACTTCATAGTTATGCTATGATTGCTACTATTATAGTTCAATTTTGATTGTTACTAGAGATAACTCAAAGTCCAAACAAGTTTAATAGGATCTGGGAACACAAATGGCCACTATCCAAAATATAGAAATGTGGATGAACTGTATTAACTCGTGGCGTTCCTCACGTATCTTCCCTTTCAACAACACTTTTCTCCATTTATATCAACGACCTCCTGGAATCCATCCGTCATTGACAATATCATCTATATCCAGATCTACTAATCCTTTCATCCTTCACATATGCTTGAGGTGACCCGAAGGCTTCAAGAAGACAGACAATAACAATGATATGTATCTAACAATGATTTGAGGCTGAACATTAAGAAGGCAAAAGCCATTCTCATTGGGACTAAGCATCTTCTTAATTCCGTTTGTCGAGGTATATATGCAGAGGATACATTTACCAGAGGGCCTCGACAGAGCGTGTTTAGTAAAGGGGTAATAGACTAATTGGATGAAGAAAGATGAATAGAAGGATGGCCTAATCACTCTCTGTCTGCGTTGTAAAGGATCAACACTAACACTCCGCGGGGATGGTAACCACAAACGGAGGGATCAGTCTCTAGACTTCGTAGGAGGATGAAATACTAACGGAGGGATCAATCTTCTGACTTATTATGTAGGAATACAACCGGACGGATCAACATCCAAACTTGCAGGGAGTGAGAGGAGAGGATGAAATGTTACTGGACAGAGTGAAATAAAAAGGCAGAATGATGAGTACAAAAAGCGTATATGAAGCTTTACCGATTACCTGCGGGTAAGGTCTACACCTCGAAGGGCGGAGACCCGAGTACCTTACATCTTTGTAAAAGCACTGCGGCAATCATTCCATCGTGACTAAATTGGCTATCACTTTGAGTATTTTATCATATATCAATAAGAAATAATAAATGCATTTCTTGGTACATTGCTGCAATTGTGTGGTACCGTCAGGTAATGGGCAGGTCCCTTATTTTTATATTTGTCCCTTATAGCAAGTGGCGGGCGAGAATCTCCCGCCACACCTTCCTTATTATCTCCTACTCTACCTTAATGGCCAGCCGATTCGCTTCCACACTTCCGTTAGAAATCTTGGGGTAGTATTTGATTAACACTTGTCCTGGATTCACCAGATTTTCCAAATTATCAGAAAATCTATCGCTACTCTTAAAAGTTTCTGAGAATCCGTGATTCCCTTTTAAAACCTGTCAGCTTCTAGTTTTCTCTCTTATTTTTCCCAACTTCCATTATGGCTGCCTAATACAGGATGGACTGTATAGTGGACTTGAAATGAAACTGAAAAGGCTAATTAATTGTTTCATTAGATTCATCTGCGGAGTCCCTAGGCGCTCCCACGTCTGCAGTCGGTATTTCAGGTTGAACTGGCTATATCCAGTTTCTCGGCGGTAATATTTTTCAGGTGTATTCCTTTTCCGAATTCTTCACAACCAGGAAACCTTCTTACCTCCTTGACTTATTCATTCTTTGATCCTGTGTCCAGTCTTTCAACATGAAATCCCAGCCCAAAAACCTGTGCATTCCTTCTCATAAGAAAGTCTATTTTGAAAAAAAAAACTTTATAATGCGTGCTACATTGTTTTGGAATTCTTTAACGACATCCATACGCAAAATCTCATCAATGACTTCATTTAAAAAAATTGTTTCTCCAACTTCTCAGCCACCAATCTTCCGAATATTTATAAGATTAAATATGTTACCACTTTGATTCTACCGTTAATTCAAAACTGTTATTTATATTGCTTACCGTGAAAATATGCAAACACGCAAACCTCAATTTATCTATAATTTCATCATGTTATAAATATATTTACAGTAGAACTTTATTTTTATTTTAGTGTTACACAACTTCGTAACCTAATTATTAATAGCTAGCCATTATGCGCCAGACAAATTTATAATTATGATGTAATTGTCATTGTACAAGTCTGTTATTCTTAGGGGACTAAACGTCCCAGAATATAATTTTCTTTCTTTTTCTTCTAAACTGTGCGAAAAAACGTCTGATAAGGTACACATTATCTCTTAAAAGGTCCAATGTTCTCCATTTATTCGCTATTGAAACTTGCTAATAATGAGAGTATTATTAATAATAATAATAACAATAACAGAGTATTATTACTAATAATAACATTAGCTCCTTAAACAATTAGTGTATACCCTAAAGTGATTTCTTATATACAGCTCATCTAAATTTAAAAATTTGGAAATCAGCTCTTTTTGTTCCCTGTATACATTGTGATTAATTGAACCTTAAGAAACATTGTCCACCAGCTACGTCATTCTACTTCTCCGATTATAATATTATTACTTCTATGGAGAAAGTTTTTAACCTTCCTTTGTTATGAGCTCTCGTGTACCATAGGGTTTAAGTGATCTTGAAGTAATATTTCAGTTCAATATGAATGAAAAAGAATATTCATTGGATGATGTTTATTTTTCATTATCTGATACACAACAATTTAAAGGAACAAAAGATCCTGAGGAGTTAATGAAAAAGAGTGTCATTTCAAATGGGTTTTTAGCTAAAAAAAAGTTACCAGTTGCTATGTACAACACTAAGATAAGTAATAAGGTAGGTGATCTGAGGCTATTTATCTATTTTGTGTAGGTATCTATGATGACTAAAATATTAATTTGCTATCTTCTAGAACCAGAAAATAAAGCGTAAGTTGCCAGAAGAAACCAGAACTGACATCAAAGTCCTTAAAATGAGGGCTGCTTTAGATCCGAAGCGGTTTTATAAGAGGAATTTGATGAAAGGGAGAATAGAAAATGTTCAGGTAATATTTTATTATAACAGTGTGCATCACACAACTTACACTTGCCATACATTGAGTAGCAATTTATTTACTCAAGTAGGTTTTAATTATTTGAATCAGTATAAGTGTTGCAATCATCGGATATCTGTATATGGCACAAGATTTCATGATCACACTACAAGTAGAAAGCTGAGAACGGATGGGTGTGTCCTACAGTAGACAGAAGTGGCCCAACGGTCTCAACTGAAAGGAATCTTTTGGGTATTTGTTTATCCATTTTGAGTAAGTCGAAATTTAAAGCATCATTGCAATTAAAGTTAATTAAGACCCTGATTTAACTGAAAAGAATCAGTTAGGAGTTTTTGGAAATAGTCAAATTTATATAAATTAAGAGAGGTTAAAAAGTGAACACATCAATCTTCGGTGATTCTTGGAATCACTTTAATTGCTTGATCATGAGATCTTTGCCCATTCTTCAAAGTAGAGTGACACTTGTACAGTAGTATTGGTGGTGGAATCTAATCCAGCTGGACACATAGTCCTTTTTGCAAACCCCTCATGGCTACCTTGTGATTATCCCCATGTACTAACCAGAGTGGGAATGTAAAGATTTATTTACCGGGCCCTGCAAGAAATTAAAGAAAACCAACCAATTCTGGTGTGAATCGAACCAACAATGCTGGGATCCATGTCCAAACATCCTCAGTCATTTTATTTGGTCTAAAGTCGTTACTATACATTTTTATCATCTTTGAACTCAATTTAAAATATTTGTGGCAGCATATCCACCTAGTCTTTTCTTACTAAAGTTCAGCAAAATATTTTATATAATTGCAGCTCGCTCAACAATTGTATGTATTTTTTTGTTATTCAAACATAAGACAATTTTTTAGTATTCATCATTTATGAGTGTTTTTTATAATGAAATAATGTAAATAAGTCAGGAAATAATACCTTATTCTGAAATGGTGGATAAATGACTAAGGATGGGTGATTCATCTTTTCAGTCTACTTTTGGAAACCTTACTGTAGTGTCAGGATTCCATCTACTCTGAAATCTTTGACTTAGCCGCCATCCTGAAAGAGTACTTAGGATCTAGTGCTTAAATTATTAATTATAATTATTATCATCACTCTATATAACTACCTATGTTTCTGTGTGTAACATTAATTTTTCCAAAATCTGAAGCCTTTTAATACTATACATCTGTATTACTTTTCTCATTTACTGAAACTATTTAAAAATTAGGTTAAGCTGTTTAGTTTTTCAACCAAGAAAAATATTTTCCTCTTTTTGTTATTACTAACAATCAGATATAATTGATTATTGCAAAAAAGTAAAATAAAAGGTATAGAATAATATTATGAAAAAGTCTTTGAACATACCAAATTTTTATAAAGATGATAAATATTTTGATTTAAAGGTAATTTAATCTTCTTATTGCAAACTTATTTAACCATGCAGACATTATAGATGTAATATTTATTTAAATCAGGATTATTTTCAATTGACAAGTCAGGCCAGGGGACCAATCAGTTTAATTGACTTTATTTGATCCTTTGTACAATCCTACATTATTGTTAAAAACAAGAGCCATTGTATAAACTCTATAAAGCTGAGTAAATCTCTGAAAATCATTTTAATATAAGAATTCTTAGCTTTTTGTGGGTAATTTAATTTTACATTCCATATTTCATTATTTATTTTTCTATTTAATGTTAATTGTATTTCAAAAATAGTATTCAAAACATTGTATTTATTTGAAAATAGAAAAATATCACATTTTTGACTTACATAAAATTATAATTTTGTATTAACGAGGACTTGCAATCGGAAAAATTTAAAAAGAAGTCAAAGGTTCTATTTCTGGAATTTATTATGTCACCTAAAAGTCGTTAAAAGCCAATCAAACTAGAGACATAAAAACATTCCTGTTGCTGAACAACATTTAAATTGTTTGATGTTTCACAACTGCTAAAAATCTCATAGATAAGAACAAGAACCCAAGTTTCGTCCTGCTTGATCAGAATGATACTCCTATCTATCATTTGGCCTTAAGGAAGGTGCTCCCAGAAAAAAAAACATTTTTTACAAATCAGCCTTACATACCATTTAATACCATCAGGACTTTAACTGATTGGGCAGAACTTTATTTTTCAGCAAGATAACGATAAAAAATATGGAAAGTTTGGACGACCAGTTATTCAATTTCAGCAGGTTGTGCAGACTTTGAATTTGGGAAAAATATCTTGATAAGTTATGTATTCTTTAACTAACGAGCGGAATAACAATTCCTCTAGAAAATTTAAAACATTCAAGTTCTAAAATTTGCAATTTTTGATTTGTTATGAAAATTTATATTGAAGAACACTAAAAACGAATATAACTTGCTTTTTCATAACACAAATTTACTTAGCATTCTTTACTGGAAGGGTCTTTTGGTTCTAATCATTTTAAATATTATATAGCTCATTTAAAAACATAATCAATATTTTTTTTCTTATTCTGCACAAAAGAAGAAATTGATTGATATATAATAAAGTAAAAATCTGGAGAAAGCATAGGAAAAAATAAATAACATATATTTTGTTAGAAACTATACAAATTTTTTTTTTCGGCTCATATGGCCTATTGGAAAGAACGCTGGGATATTTATCCAATATTATTCAATGTAGTATCACCAAAAAATTTGGTTGAAATCGGTATATATAATGTTTTTTCTCGGCTTCTAAGGTGCATTCGCAAGAAAGAATTGTCTTGGACATTGATCTAATATTTTTCGACCTCATATTACCTAAAGAAATTTCATTTAAATCTGTAATCTCTCCTAGTTAGAAAATTTGGAGAAGACATAATTTTTATACTGACGTAATTCTTAATAGTCTAGGATAGCACACAGACAGATGAGTTTGTTTCCCTGTGATGTTTCTGTTTTTAGTTAATTTTGTTATTATTCTCATTTTCACTTTCATGCATTTGTGGGATGTCCAATATTTTGTTGCTTCAGTGGCTTTTTTAACAATACAATTCCCATTATTCCCATAACATTATTAAGTATTCTTATAAAACTCTATATACAGTTTGAAATAGTCTTAATTTTCATTTGACAAGTCAGGTAGGATTTCAATAGCTTAAAACCTTCATGGTGCAACCTAGACCATTTTAACAACAAAAAAAAATTCTTAAAATCTGTCCATTAGTTTTCTCCCAGCTGTTTCAAATGGAAAAAAAGTACCTTCTTTTACATAACAGTATAGGGAAATAAACCTGTTAAGTTTACTGAATATATGTCTATATTGTTTAGGTTTTAGTTTATTTTGAAGTAAATTGCTACGGAGCCCTGTAGAATTAAACATAATTTTACTGATAAAATTGATATTGTTCATATTGTCGTATATACTTTTCCTGAGGTTTCATTATAGATAATTCGTTAAAATTATATAAAAGATAGATATCACATAATTAATGTCTTGAGAATTCATATAAAGGTAAATAAATAATGAATCAACTTGTCATCAATAAAATTGTAGTTAAATTATTATAAATTAGATGTAATAATGATTTTCATTTTGTGGTTTTAGGTTGGAACAGTTTTAGATTCTCCTGCTGATTTCTACAAAAGCCGATTACCAAGCAAATTAAGGAAGAAAACTTTAGTTGATGAGCTGTTGGCTGATGCAAAATTTAAGAAAGATATTAAAAGGAGATATGTTGACATAATAGAACAGAAGAAATTTAAGTATAAAAAAGAATATAAATTACAAAAAAAGAGACAAAAGTCTCATTCTCATAAATAGTTAATAATAAATTTAAGTTTTTATCAATTTATTTTTTTATCTTAAGTCCTAAGAACCTAATATTTAACAAACGAAAAAATAGATAATTTTATGATACGAGTATTATCTATTCAATAACTTCCATTTAATGCTCTGCCAGGTCCAATTATTTTGATAAAATACAAATATTATGTGATAAGAAGTACTACCATAGATAGTTTAGTCACTTGTATTTGAAGAGCCAAACTCTACAATACGCCTATGGAAATGATTGAAGGAATAGCAACATCTCAGGTCCCAGGTCTTCTGCCAGATGGTAGGGTACACTTTCCTGATCTGTCTAACTGTTGGTCTTACTATTTTTTATTACTTCAATGATGTTAAAATTATATAAAAATACAAAATGTAATATTCAAAATAAATATAACATTCTCCTACAGAACAACTTCCAAATGTTAGTGAATTTTGGGATATCATGATCATTGTATTGTAGTTTAAACAATACTCTAAATATAAAAGAAGTATTTAAGGGTAGACATAAAATTAAATATATGTAAATATTATTTATTTAACACCTAAATTAAAACTAGTATTAATACAATTTATTTACAGACATCAACAAACATTTCTGAATTCCATATTTCACTTTTGGAATGGATAATAATCAAATCCTGTGTTATACTTAAATTTAGTTTGTTTTTCTTCTTTCCTCTTTATCTCTTCTATCAGCTTTATTACTTCAGATCTAAAAATCATTAAAGTAATTTATGATAAATGGGTACAATATAAACATTACTGTATTACATATAACATTCATAGTAAACTTCCTTTTATGTTACAAATCTTTAGATCAGCATAATTCTCTGATGTACTAAATATAATTATAATTTTTATATAGAGAAAAATAATAATGCATTAATAAATAATGGAATAACATTTATCACGAAAAAAAATACTATAACATAAATATAGTATTTTTTTTTTGTGATAAAATTTGTTGAATTTTTTCATTCAAATTCAAAAGTATTGTGAAAAGTGCTTTAAGCAATTAAAAGTAAGCATTTTGTCTCGACAATAACAATAGATTAAAATATTTAACAGCATAATAATTCATCTTAAGCAATTTGTAATCCAATTAACATTTATTTATAAACAAGCAGTTTTTGGTTTTCATTGCTGGTCAAAATCAGGGGTCTCCAAACCTCCTGGCCACGGGCCACATTGATACCTCCACTAAGTCTCACAGGCCGCATCGAAACTTCCACTTAAGTCCTGCGGGCCATGGCTTGTAATGAAAAAGAAAATCTTGTTCTATAAATGACACTTAATTGTGAAATGAGCATTCTAAGAGAACAGAACCATGCAATAAATGTTGTAGTAACCTTTTGTGTGAATAATTTAACATTATTTTAATAGTTTTTAAATTTTTACCAAGTAATCAAAGTAACTTCTGCAGGACGTAAGTTGAAGACACCTGGTCAAGATGATAAATTTAAAAAAAAACCTATACAGATTAACAAAGAAATCCTTTATATCCAAATAAAGTTCTAAGAACTTTTTGAACATGAGAGAAAATGTCAGAGCTTTTTATCCCAGATAGAGATTTTATAAATAATAAACACACATCTTATATAAATGAACATTTTATACCTGTATGGAGCAGGTTTCATTTCTTCTTGAATATTACATTCATGATTCGTATCTTGAGGCTGGACCTTGAAAATTCTAGATCGTATAATATCAACATCTCTATTATAATCTCTTTTCAAATCTTCCAGCTTAGATGGAGGTGCATCAAACATCAACACAAAATAGCTAAAAAAGAAACTCTCATGAATAATACACAAACAAAAGTTACTATAAGTCATAAATAACATGTACTGCACCATAAAGTATTTTTAGTAAAATAATCTTATCTTTGCATTTGACAGGTAAAATTAGTAAATTTCATAAACTTTCCATTGAAATGAAAAATCAGAAAAGAACTTCGACAGGTCATCAAAAATATTAAAAAACAAAAAAATATTAAATAGTTATCTTCAGAATAAAGTAAGGAAACTTAAGTAAGCATTGCCAGTAATAGTCAAATACTGACTAGTATATAAGCTAGATAGCCATAATGTTAGAGCCTGTAAGTGCAAAACTTCAAATTATTCATAAGCCAAATCAAACTGTATATTTCTTTTTATATGATAAAAAGAATCATTTTATGAAGAAAAAGAAACTAATGATCAATTTTTTCTGGTCAAGAAGTAATAATATATTAAAAAATGAATGAACATTAGTGCTATTTTCTCCAAAAATCTTGCAATCAGAAACGGGTGGTAACTTCGCAATATTTCCAAGCTGACTTCCAAATCCAGGAATTATGTACAGAAAGAAATAATCTTTAAATTTATTAACCATAAAGTCAATTTAACCAGATGGGTGTCACATAAAGTCTGATATTGTTCATTTTTAGTTCAAAATTTAATAGAATAAATTCATTTTTTGGCTCAATGAAAAAATCACATTTAGAGAAGTTTATACTTATTATGACACCTAATTATATATAGAATTAATGTAATTCAGCTACCATAAGCTAAATGCTCAAAACGCCCCATAGGGAACAAAAAAGTGATGTCAGGGATAAAAACTATTTTTCAATTAACATCATTTACCATTGAAAATGGTAAAAATTAATCATTTAAACTTAGGAGACTATTACATTATGAATGTTAAATTAAAAATAACACATTAATTTATAATTAAAATCTATGAAAGTCATGTCACTCATTTTCCACCAGCATTGATGAACTAAAAAGGTTTGAATAGATACAACTGTCTTCCACCAGTTATTCTGTATAAACCTTTCCTATGATTGTTCATTCACTTCAACAACCAATGCTAAAAATCTTTATTTTATTAAGGACCACCTCCTTCCTCGATAATTTATAATGGTCAACCATCGAGTATTCAATACCTTTATTTTACCATATCAGTCGATAAAACTAATAGAAAGATGAAAGGTACTTTTTTCAATCTACTTATAAAATTGATCCACAGAAGAACTTCTATAAATTACAATATGATTCATAATTTCAAATATATTCTGATGGCATACTTGGCTTCTCTGTGAACTGCTCCATGACTACTGGTTTTGTAGGGCATTGCTCTTTTCCCTAAATTTTCTATACTCCTTATAATACCACCACAATCAAATATTGCATTAGCAGTGCGCTTAAGAATAGAGACCATATCAGGCTAAAAATAATAACAGAATTATTAAACGAAAGTTGCTTCTTTCAAGGTAAAAGTGAATAATGTTTTATTTTTTACCTTGGATAAACTGCGAGTCAACATAGCCAATTCATAGGAAGGCATAATTGAACAATGAATCCACAAACCAAATCCAAGTTGATTTTCAAATACTTCACTGCTATTATCACCAAGTATTCTATAACGACCGACAATATGAATGCCACATATAGGTACTATTAAGTCAGTCTTAATAGAAAATAATGATAAGCTATACATAAATTAAAATGTTGGGTTTCTTCCTAGTTTTGCAATACTTTGATTTCCTATTCCTCGTTCGAATCATAAGCAACATATTAGCTATATATTGAAAATGTTTAAATATTTTGGACTTAAACGAGAAATATATGCCTTAAAATATGTAATGCAAATGTTCAAGCCGTTTTTTTTGTTTTCTAAATCCGAATAGTTCGCAGTTTGGACCTAATGAATAAAATATTTCCAATTAACCGACCATGATATAGGGAGACTCTCGGAGGGCACAGCCAGCGACGGAAAATCACTCCTTTACAACTGTATGTATTGTGTCATTGGAAAAACCAATCTCTTCTCTAATCTTCTAAACTTTTCAACAGACGTTTTTAAATATATATTTAAAACGTGCAAAAAGACAACTGCCACTATAGTTTTATCTTCGTAAGAAACAACCTTAATTCTTCACCTCAGTCACCTACATACTTTCCCAAACCACACAAATATTTATCTCAACAATTTATAAATATTATCGTCACACACTCTTTTCTATTAGTTTAAATCACAAAATTCTCGAAATTAAATACATTTTTCATTCTTAGGTGGGTTATAGGATTTTTCATTGCCACTCAGTTGAAAAAAAACAAGGTCATCTCATTCTTCTGACTGCTCTCGTGCGAACATCAATCTCCCCTTTAAAGCTTCTGTTTAGCTGAAGTTTTAACTATTTTTTGTGAAGTACGCCTAATTTGTTTTAAATCATTGTGCTTGAGACGATCCGAATGTTTTTATGATATACCACTTATTGATTAATAAGGTAAACATGAGGCGTATAATAAGATTGTGGCGTAAGGAGGTGGCGGCTCCATCGCCCAGTCGTTAGATTACAAATAACCACTGGCTCTCCAGCTTGTAGGAACAGTACTCTGACACACACTCAGTACAATTACAGCACATCACACACACCCCTACACTTCAGACAAAGGTCTCATACAAAACATATCTTAGGATCACCTCCACTAGGAAGCCGCCCTGGATGGGGAAGCAGGTCAGGGGGCTTAGAGGAGGCAGCTCCTCCAGTGGACTTGGGGGCTGAAAGGGCTAATAACATACACTCTTTAAACCAAAAGTATTATGAACCTTCAAAGGAAATATTTATTTCCCAGGAAGCTAACTAGCTAACTAGACTAGCAAAAATTACAATTCACGATAGCAGGATGAAGATAAAAATACAGAGAATGTCATTAGAAGAATTTGCAGGAAATAGGGGCCTGAGGCAGGGAGACAGACTATCACCTGTCCTTTTCAATTTAGCCTTGGATAAAGCTATTAGGGCAATACGAAACAAACCTAATGGAACAACTTATGATCGACTCACACAGCACTTGGCATATGCGGATGATGTGTTCATAATGGCAAGAAGCACTGCAGCGCTAGGAGGAGCTTTTGAGGAGTTTGAAAGGGGAGCAGCAGAAGTGGGCCTTCATGTAAATGAAGGAAAAACAAAATATTTAAAAACTTGCAGGCACCAACAAGTGGAATACCATGATATGCAAATCGGCGATCACAATTTTAAAAGTACAAGCACGTTTAAGTACCTGGTCATTACACATGAAAAATACTCCGGAGGATATATGGTCCAATAAGAGAAAGTGGCACGTGGCATTTAAGAAGCAATTACGAGCTCCGTGCAATGTATGGAAAACCAAGCCTGGTATCATTGGTGAAAAAAGCCCGTCTGAGATGGCTCGGACCTGTGGAAAAGGTGCCAGAAAATAGAATTCCAAGACGCCTGCTATATGGAAAAATTGGAGGGAAGTGATACAGAGGAAGGCGAAGAATGCGATGGTTGGATGACGTTGAAGAGGACCTCGAGTTGCTCAGAGTAAGAAGATGGAGGACGCGAGTGAGAGACAGGAATGGCTGGCTTGAAGTCCTTGAGGAGGCCCAGGAGTAAGTATATAATAAGTTATAATACTTTATTATTACTTCTCACCAGAAGGATTCATTTTCAGTAGTTTGCCAATTACAGGCGCAGAAAAAAATTCATCTCGACATCGAATAATAATTTACCATTCTATTACGGATATTTTATTTCGCCTCATTTTAACTCATTAAATAAAATAATTAATTTAATGTTAGGGGGCTACCCAAACGGTCCTATTCCCATTTTACAAATTATACAACTATTCATTTAATCGTACTACTACGCCAATTTGTAACCATAATATATATTAAACTTGTCTAACTTCATATAAGCCCAACATCAATTTGAACCTATTATTTTTAATATTTTCACAGTACGTTATATTGTGCTTCCTTCTCTGTATCATAATAATTATTATTATTTCACAATATAGTATTATATATAATTAGTGTTGCCCAAAATCGGTCTTGGTCTTGCACTTTGCAAGACCAAGACCAAGGCCGCCTAACTGTTGCAAGACCAAGACAAGGACTGGTAAGTTTTGAATAAAAAATTAAGGCAAAATAGTTACTAATACTCGACAATCTTAGTTATTATATATAAATAATTGGTATAACCAATATAGTTTTGCATTTAATTCCTCTAATTTTTCATTCAGGCTTAGTTAGGTTTCTCCTATCTACAAAATACAGTACTGTAAGACTGTTGCGAGACTCTTGTGCAAGACCAAGACCATGACGAAACTGAGTTTGCAAGAACAAGACTCGTCTGGGTCTCGCATTTGGGCAACACTATATATAATCATAATTAATATATTTTATTCAAGGAGAAAATGTCTAGATCGAAAAATAACTGCTGCCACCAAGGTATACGAATTACCGTACACATTTTAGTCTTAAACCTTTGTTTTTATTAGGTGAGTAGGAGATTGCAGTAGCTCAATATTGTAACGAAAATACCAGGGTGTAAATCTCTATTTTGTATAAGGAGGAAAGGAGGTTACAGGAGCTCAACACATCAGTGGTATGAAGAAAACAGCTAATTCATTGGGTTGAGTTCTTCCCCAAAAACGAGAAGTAGTGTATTACTGTATTACTGTTTATATTGTAATTTCTGAAAAGAGCATTTTTCTCTCAATTTTTACACATTCCATTCATTAATTTGCACAACTGAATATCACCTTCTGATCCACTAAGGTCTTATTACAACTGAAGCTTTGACAATTCGCTGTCAATGACCGAAAACAACTATATTCATTATCAAGTTTTTAAAACCAAAATTTATAATTTACATGTTTTACAGGTTTACATGGCTAGTCAATTTAGAGATCGTTTTTAATTTACACTTCATTTTTTTATAATGTAAAATATTATAACGTGAACTATCTGAATAGTCATGCTCAAATTTATGTTCACAGAATTTTGCCTTGTCATAGATTCATCACGTCATCTAGTAAAGTTACTTTTTGATAGCAAGTTATAACAGCTAGTTATTAAAGGTAATAGATTCCAATATTGGATTAAATTGTAATGATTTAGTAAATAATAATGGAAATATTATGCTGAAAAATTATTACTGTCGCAGAGGGAAACTGTTTTTTAAAATCTTATATTATAACTTGAAGAAAAATTATGGAGATAATGGTTCACTCTGATCTAAGCTTAAAATGATCACCAATTTAATGTTATTAGGTATTGAGATGGGCAAACTGTCTAACATTAACTACCAGCAACCAACTCCTATAGAAACCAAAAAATTAGAGAAGAAGAACTAAACATTAACCATGTAATAAAGGATTGTCATTGCAATAATCTTTTTTTCAAAGAAAGGATTCTTGTTATTGCTACAGTGCGATCTTATTAGAACTAGATCTTTGATAAGAGCAGTTTCAATCTGATTACCGAAAGTTGGCGTATCTCTACTTGATAACCTGTTGAATATGATAAGGTGGTTCAACCTGATCAGAGAGTGACTGGTTTCTCTTGTAAATAGTGGTTTTATATTGTGTTTTAAGGATATTTTTTCTCAATATAAAACTTTATAGAGGTAATTTTTATTGTGTTAGTTTTGATTTATTGGAAATTAAGATCAATAAATATATATTTTACTTTATAGAACAGTATGAATGATATAGGTTTTAATATTGGTAAATAAAATTTCAATCATAAATGAAACCACTCCTTTTAAGTCCATATTATGAGTAATTCTCTTTTTTATGAAACTTATAATTATTAGCTCTCATATCAATACTATAATCACTGTGAAAATGGTATAATACCAGCGACTAAGTTGGAAAGAAAATAACAGTGTAGTTTTGATTGTTAATCTGTTCCTAATGGTATAATTCATCATTTCTGGTTAAAAAAATGGATGATAACTGCTTGCTTAGGATCCATTTGAATTATAAATAGATAGAAAATAACTTTATTCTGGGACAAAGTCCCTTGAGAATAACAAAATTAAAAGATTAAATCTGGCCTAAGTAAAATCAATAGAAAAAAAAATTATAGTGAGTAAGACTCACAAAAGGTTGCCTCTTTTGCCTCCATCTCGTAGCCTTAACTGCAATTATTCTCAGTTGTCCTTTCAATTTAGCAACTGGGTCTAGATCAAATCAATCATACTGTAGAAGGAATTTTGAAAGTGGCCAAGTGTGGACAGAGATAGTCTCTTTAGTTAGGCTGGGACCTTAACTTTAAAGAGCCTATTGGAGATTTCTCATCTTAAAGTTTTACCAAGGGAAGATCTGTATCACATGACATATTAGTAATCACTTTCTTAATAAGGGTTAGGAATTGATATGATCTAGCTACTATGTTATGTAAAAACATAAGAACTTTAATTCATTTAAACTTAAAGTTGTTGATATTATTATGATTTTCATTAAATCTAATTTTTGTTTAAGATGGATAAAAAATCAACATATCCGTTTCGCCGACTTCATACTGGCATTCATCACCAGGTGTTGCGAAACTGGAGCTCCACAAATTCATTTATTACTGCAGATTCATTAATGTATCCAATATTTATTGTGTGAGTTTTCTTAATCAATACTTTGTCAAAATATCTAAGAACTGTCATTTCATTCATTATATGTTTTTTCAGTGAAGATCCTAATGCTAATGAAGAAATACCTAGTATGCCTGGTGTTTATCGGTATGGCATTAAAACTCTTCTATTGATTCTAGAAAATTTGGTGAACAACAATTTGAAATCCATTTTACTTTTTGGTGTAATTAATACTTTGATAAAGGCAAGTAATATATATCCATGATTTAAATAAATTTTATTTATATTTTAAATATAATTGGATTATACTATAATTAAATTTAAGGATGAAACAGGTTCAAATGCAGATTCATCCGAAAATCCTGTTGTCAAAGCAATACCTCTGATTAGACAAAAGTGTCCTGAGCTAGTTATCGCTTGTGATGTAAGTATAAAACCATGTTGTAAGTAATGCTGAATTGTTTCATTTTGTTTTATATGGATATTACTTAAGGCTAGTCAACACTTCTATTCAAAATTAAGCAATTGTGTAGACTCTGATAGGTATTTACATGTTAAAATTCCTCTTTAAGGAAAGGTTTTTGTCAAATTAATTGATGTCAATAAATTTATATATATAATAATTTGTATATATATCTGGATACTTGATTAGATCTTTATATTATTGATTCTGATCAAAATCTCCTTTCCTCATCTCAGTTACCAATCTCCTTTTTATCCTCTCATGCCCTTATCTAAAATCCTCTGATGCAGCCTAAAACATTTTAACTTGAATATCCTCTCACATGAAAAATTGAATCACTTGATTGTAATAGGATATATTCCTGTTCCTCTATTGACGCTATGGTTCACATTCTCAATGTCCTTGATGCCCACGCCCCCCTCAAAATCTCTACCTTTACCTATACCTACCTCGCTGTCTAGCTCTTTGCGTGTCTTATAAAATCAAGGATTTTCAGAAGAGGCATGATGCTGCCCGTAGACACTTTAGACATACTAGGTTGGCCGATGACTATCACGTGTTTAGCTTGCTTAATAACATGACACAAACAAGGATCCGGCACGGTAAATCGTCCTACTTCCAAGAAGCCCTTTCCTTAGCTCCTGATTCCAGATCAAAATGGCAATTCCACCATAAACTTTCTCTCAGTGAACCATCCAGAATCTCCCACTCAGTAATCTTTCCAGTTCCAGGTGATGGTTTAAATTCACACTTTATATCCTCCTCTTCCTCTTCGTTACCATCCCCCACCTGCTTTTATCCTAGTTAATTTTTTAACGACTTCTATTTTTCTGACCTTATATCCACTGTGATGAGGGATCACCTCTAAAATTCAATATTTCCAACCACTCAGAGAAAAGCGATTGTTCATCCATTAGTTAAAAATGTTAACCATACTTCTCACGAAGATTACTGCCTAATCTCAATCCTTTCCAACCTCTCTAAACTCCTTGAAAGACTTGTGTAAACTCAAATTTCCAATTTCCTTGAACAGTCTAATCAATTGGATGCTCACTCAGTCAGCTCTGATTAAAATCACCATTGATATCGAGGCTGTGGTAGATGAAAAAAAACCAACTATCCTCACACTCCTTGCTTTTTCTAATGTATTTGATACCATTAACCATTCCATCCTTTTTTCCAAATGAAAATCGTCCATCTTTTGGTTTCAATCATTCTTCTCTCAACGTTTGTAAGCAGTTTCTATTCCTAATCTACCCCTGTCTTCATATCTTACTCTGACCTCAGGAGTGACCCAGGATTCAAGCATATCTCCACTTCTCTTCAATCTCTATATTAACGATCTGCATAAATCAATCCTAATTGTTCCCATCAAATCTATGCTGGCGATTCACAATTTTATTAATCCTTTTCTCCTTCTAAGTTAGGTGTTGTATTTTCCAAAATTCAAGAAGACATAGATAGTATCACGAACTGGGAAAGCTTAAATGGATTAAGATCCAATTCCAACTTTTTTTTTATCCAACTAGCTATTTCTGGTATACGGATTTTTATATCAGCTTTTCTACTCTACACCTAAATAACCATCCCATTTCCTTCAGTTAAAAACTTAGCCATAATCATGGATCAAACTCTCCTACAACCACTATATTGCTCGTATCTCATGTCGATCAATATGTACCTTAAAACTGTTTCATCACTCCCGCCATCTCTTACCCAAATCTATGCGAAGACTCCTAATCTTCGAGAAAGATTAAAAATGATCATGAATTGCTTCATAAGATTCGTCAGTGGAACCCTGAGACGTTTCCGTGTTTCCCATTATTATTCTGAGTTAAGCACCCTACCTGCTTTATAGTGTTTCAAATGGTTATTGTATATTACTAAAGTTATCTCTATCTCTAAAAAAAATTAACTTCATTATCAGTGATGAATGATGCAGTCACTTTCTATAGTTACTACATAATTGCTTTTTAAGATTCATTTAATGTTATTTTTAATGGAAAAATTAGTAGGAATGTATATAGATGTTATAATTTTATAGGTATGTTTATGCCCATACACCTCTCATGGGCATTGTGGAGTATTTAATTCTGAAGGATTCATTGATAATGACAAGAGTATTCAAAGGTTAAGTGAAATAGCAGCATCTTATGCTAAAGCAGGTAAGTCTATTTGTAAGCTTAGTTTGTTTCTTCGGGTGCCCATGTCATTTACCATATTTCTTAAGAAAATTATTATTCTGGTATGGATGTTGACTAAAATTGAAGGGGTTATGAAACTGTACTTTTCTCCCATATCTCGCAGAGAAATTGATCTGTATTTATAAGGGACAAACTTAATGCTTCTAGCCCTAATATTTAAATTATCATGAAAATAATTGAAGTGATCAGTCAGTAGGTTTTTTTATTTTTACTGTAAATTTAACTAAGAAACATTAAGTTTATCACTTACGAATACAGTTCAGTTCCTATGATAGAGATATGGGAGAAAAATACAGCTTCATAACGACTTCACTTGAAAAATCATTATTTTTAATTTTTTAATTTTTACAAATAAAAAGTATATTTAGGCAATTATTTGTATTACCACACATCCCAAATAATAGAAAAGCAAGCTATAAATGCTTTGCAACAGTTGATTGTTATAATTTTTGCTGAAAAAACTTTCAATTTTTTGTCTAGTAAACCTGAAATCAATTATTATGGCCTCAAAGCTTATTAAACGAGAAAGTATTGCTAAAAGTGTAGAATTGTTGGATGGTGATAAAAAACTCATGAATAATTTATGTTTTTATAATAACAGAACTTTGCTGAGTTTAACAGCTCAAAATTCATCTTTGAATGGTTCTAACAATGCTAAACTCTATCGTCATGTAAAGTAAATTTTGTCTAGTTTACAGTAAAGCAATGATTAATCAGGTAAACTGAATATTTCTTTAGTTATCGTTTTCTTTTCAACGAAATGCATGACTTGTTTAAAAAACACAACACTTGGGTTTTCTAAAACTTGGCACATTGTTCATATAAACTTTTTTGTAGCTCTTAAGATCTGCTATCACTCCTATAAAAATTTCTCTGTATTTATGGGATACCCTGTATAGACCAGATAGTAAATTTCATCCTTCAATTGACTGCAAATTGCTAATTTACAAAGAAATTCTGAAACCTATCTGGACCTATAGGCTCTACTGGGGACAGAAAAGTTTTCAACATCAAACATTGAATCCTCTGTAGTGTGAAGTCCTTTAAACAGTAGTCAATGCTCCATTATTTATTCTAGCCCTTATCTTAGGAAAACTCTTCAAACTTCATCAGAACAAGACATCATCAAAATCATCTACAACCCTTATCTAGCTCCAACCCTCCCTATAATCCTCTTTGAAAGTTGCAATGGCTAGATTCTCAGTTTAAGATATGTATGCCTGTGGCTATAGCACCCTCACCCCTGCATTGACTCTTTAAATCAGTGACACGGTTAAGAGAAAAGTACTGGCTCTCCCGCATCCTATTTTCCTCTCCACATGTAGGAAACTGGGCTGGTTCCTCTGGCTTATTGTAAATAGCATATATAAGTATGGATAGTGTAACAACTTTTGTTACTGATACTATGTAACTATGAGAGAGCAAGCAGTAGTAAGGTTCTAATATCAATTAATTTATTTTATATTTTATCCAGGAGCTCATATAGTTGCACCTTCAGACATGATGGATGGGCGCATAGGAGCAATCAAAGAACGCTTGGTTTCTTTAGGACTTAACAACGTTAGTGTTCTGTCTTACTCTGCCAAGTTTTGTTCAAATTTCTACGGACCTTTCCGGGATGCTGCTAAATCAGCTCCTTCATTTGGTGATAGGAAATGTTATCAGTTGCCACAAGGAAGTTCAGGACTTGCTCGTCGTGCTGTGGTAAAATATTTTTATTGAACTTCTGAAAATAATATCTAGATGTATAGCAAATATTTTCTCTGGAAAATTATGAGTTGGCCAAATTCAATGCATAATATAATCAGTAAAATATATTTTAACGTTTGAATATTTATTTCTAGTTATTTCAGTGTGTACAGAGTATTTATTATATTCATAATAAATAACTTTGAACTGAAAACCAGTATGTCTACTAGATCTGGAAAAATAAGAAAATTTTGTTAGCTGGAAGACAATAGTTCCAATTTATGTTTGAAAATCATTGTTGGTCACAAAAAGTTTATGTAATAATGATAACTACACAAGTATACTACTTAAGCAAGGAGGTAAGGAACTCTTCAAGCTCCTTCACAACTTATTGTTGGTGAGCATATGGACTCAGGAAATAATGCCTACAGATTGGAAGAAGACAGTCATATGCCCAATCCACAACAAGAGAAACCTATTGAAATGCACAGACTATTGCTGTTTGCGGATCGAGAGATTGGGAGGTACCAGTGCAGGTTCAGACGAGGAAGGTCAACGATCGACCAGATATTCTGTCTGAGGAATTTTCTATGAGAAGGGGTGTACGACAGGATGATGCCCTGGCATGCCTCCTTATTCTCTTGACCCTAGAAAAAGCAGTTTGTGAGTCCCAAATACAAACATTTGGCACGATCTTCTACAGGACTGTTCAGCTCCTCGCTTTTGCCCACGATATAGACATTATTGGGCGTTCTCGGCAAGCGGTTGCACAATCATTTCTGGACCTAGAGGCAGCAACAAGGAAACTCGGCCTGACTGTCAACGAGAAAAAAAAAGAAATACTTGGTAATCCAGGAGACCTCAGGATGTGGGTGAGTGTTGGACCCTTAAGGTTTTGAACAGGTACCAGAATTCACTTACCTGCGCTCACAGATCACTGTTGATAACCGGATGGATACAGAGATAAATAAGAGGATTTTGCTGGCCATCAGTTGCTATTATGGTATTGCTATTAGTCAACATATGAAAAGTACCCTGGTGACTGAGCGTAGCAAAGTAATCCTCTACATAACTCTTATCAGACCGGTTTTAAGTTATGTATCAGAGACTTGGACAATAACAATGTCAGCCAATATTTGAATACCTCCTAATATTTGAATAAAAAATTCTAATAAGAAGGATTTATGGTGCAGTGCAAGTGAATGGAGATTGGAGAGGAAGAAAAAATCAGGAGATCTACCAGCGTTTGAATGAGGTCAATGTTATAAGAGTAGGCTGTCTCAGATGGGCTGGTCATGTGGCCAGAATGAGAGATGACATGATCCCAAAGAAGGTGTTGGTTGAAATCGTGTATGGAGCACGATGAGTAGGAAGGAAGACCAAAGTTAAGATGGAGGGACAGTGTGGACAAAGATGCTAGGAGTTCTAGACTGGATGGTAGCAGCGCAAAGCAGGGACACCTGGTGGATGCTGTTGGCAGAGGCCATGACTCGCTAATTGGGTTGTAGAGCCAGTATAGATAGATAGATGGACACAAGCGTACATACTACATATCAAATGCATTACTTTGTTCATCAATTTTTAATGATAAACAGTTATTCATTTTTATTTTTAGTAATTGTCTTTTTTTCCCCTGGTATAGTATGATATTGATTTTAAAGGTGTACATATTCAACTAGTACCAAGTATATCATGTATAATGAATAATATATTATTATTCCAGGAACGTGATGTGGAAGAAGGGGCTGATATGTTAATGGTGAAACCAGGCCTACCTTATTTAGATGTGCTCAAAACTACTAAAGAACAATTTCCTGATCACCCTCTGTTTGTTTATCAAGTAATTTCAGTCTTTAACCTATCAAGTACATTATTTTTAGTTGATACATTAAATTTAAGACTGCTCACTGTTTGTATATTATTATTCTATAATATAAGCACTTTGTCAGTGATTTCAGGAGAAAATTAATGCATAAATTCAAAGTGTAATAATGTTTTATCTCTGTTCAGTTTAATACAATTAAATATTCCAGGTATCTGGAGAATATGCCATGATTTACCATGCTGCCAAAGCTGGTGCAGTTGATCTTCAAAAAGCTGTTGAAGAAACAATGACAAGTTTCCGACGAGCAGGTTATATATAAAAACTGTTAATTCATATTTTAGTAAAAATTGGTATAGTTTCAAACTTCAAACATCTTAAATTCCCAAGAGTTTCCCATAGTATTTGTCTATCTCAATGTCTTATAAAATGTATAACTTAATAATCATAAGCTATTTAGTCTTTTTTTTTTGTATGCCAGGATGCTTTTATTGAATAAGAGTAAATTTAGGACTATTTTTTATCTCTATTTAGCAAAGGACTGTAACTTATTGAGAATATTATCATCTGGCAAAGCCATAGGAGGAATTTAAGACTTTTGATAAAGTAACTTAGTTTATTTAAAATATTTTATTCATTACTTTTTTATATCCTAAAATTTTATTCCAAAAATTAAAAAAAAAAAAATCAAGTTGATAATGATTTCAAAAACATTGACGTTGTTAACTTTTAGATAAATCTTATTATTATATTTTCATAATTCTTCTATATTTAAACCAATAGAAAGCTACTATAAATAAACAAGTTTTTCTTAAATTTTTATTATCTTATAAAAAATATTTACAAATTTAATACCATACACAATTTACAATTAAATGTACAATTTAAATTTTAGGAGCGGATTGCATCATTACTTACTTTACTCCACAAATTCTTGAATGGATGGCATCAAAAAACAAAAACTAATCTTGATTAGGAAGGATTCAGCAACAATGATGACAATATTTGTTTTATATAAGTATGAGTTTTTAAGTGGTTGTTTTTTTTTTTAATAAAAGTTACTTTTTTCTGAATCTATCCAACACACTTGGAGCTTGTGTTTTCTTTTTGTTGTTACCCCCTTTAGTTACATTCACTAAGTTTTTCTGTACTTCCTTGATGCCCTTGATAAATTCCTATAAAATTCATAAATAGGGATTACAAAAATTGTGAGATTATGAAGTTATAAGTACATGCAAAGCCATATCTTAAACTGTTTGTCATTGAACTAAATCATAATAAAATAAAGTTTTAAATTTTCTAGGACATATTAAAAAATAATTCTATAAAATGTGTCTTAAAAAATATACACATATTTCTATCACTATATGATTTTTTCTAGAAAAAAACTACTTAATTTATGAAAATATTCATGTAACTTAGTCCATATTAGAAAACTAATTACATTCAAGCTATAAAAATTCTGAAAAATGCAGATATTTCAAATTAAAGGTGTATAATACTGTTATAAGACTTGGACACTAACCACCACCCTAGCATGAAGCAAGATAACCAGAGTGATCTGGGTTCAAAATATTAACACATGGAGAAGAACCAATAAAGGAACTGCTTACAGAAACTGGACAATCAATAACTAAGATAGACAAGGCATATAGCTTGGAGTACACAAGTTATACACAAAAAATGTCTCAATTGTTGGCAAGAGACCATGTGGAAGGACTATCTCCAGATGGATAGATAGATAAAAAACAAATTCTCCAAGACGTAAACTAACTGGAAATAGCTCAAGATCTACAAGGTATGAATAACACATTTTGCTGCCTAATATAAAACTGAACAATTCTTTTTAAATCACCAACTGCTCATACACTAAGATCGGTGTTTTTTCCAACAGTTTTAAAAATCATGATGAGAAGGTTAGGGTTCATCTATTATCTTTTTTTGTCCATTCTTTGACTTTTAGCTCATGAAATCCAACACAAAATGGATTGTATGTAAAGGTCATTATTACTGCAAACAGGGAAAAAATATTCTACATTTAATCAAGTAATTCCATACTGTCTTTCTCAAAATATTCCCATAAGACAATACACTTGTGTAATCTCCATTTGCACTACTGGAAAATGGATGTCAATTCTTCAGCTGCCTCTTCGTTTTTGGTTTAATGGTATCCATGCTGCTTTGAGCACCATCTGTAAGATCCAAATCAAGGAGCTAAATCAACTGAACGGGAGAGGGAGAAGGTATGGTAATTGAATTTGAGACCAAAAAGTAAAGCACAACTAGCGAAGTGTGTGGAAGATCCACTGTCTCCATTGGGAAAAATTCGGTCGAGATTAGAGGCATCTCACAATTTTAATGTAGAAGTTTCCATTAATAGCCGGAGGAGTGAATTCTTGGAGGACAATCTCACATAAATAAAAAAAATAACATTTTTCCAAAAGCATTAGGACTAAGATTTTCTTGTATTTTTTATCCTGGGCTTCTCAACTTAAATCTTCAACAAGAGAAAATTCCATGCCAATTGCACACAAAAAAATAGTCTTTAAAGTATGATCGTTCAGAGAATATTTTTAAATAAATAATATTTATTTATCTCATTAAAAGTAAAATAATTAATTTTCTTCTCTTTTATGAGCTTTCTGGAGACACCTTGTATTACATATTTATCTAATAAAAATTATCCACATTATACTTACTTTTTTGTTGTTTTCTTTGACTATCTTTTTGACTCTTGCTGCTCTAGCAGTATTTCCACGTTTCTTCTTCCTTGGCGTAAAGTCAATCTTCGGAACTTTCAAATACTGAAGAAAGAATTTATAATTAGCAACAAAAGAATGTAATAGCTTCTATTATACTACTAGTATATCAGTTCCATATAATCAAACCAAAATATTACACATTGATTTAAATTCTGCATAAACATATTAATGATTTTAAATCGTATATTAAATTCTTATTTAATTACTTTATTTGTGGAACTAACTGGTTGTTATTAATTTCTTCATGTATTGAAAAAAAAAAAAAGGAAAACGGAACTCACCAAGAGTTTTTCTTTAGCCTCAATTTTATCTCTTAGAGTAGGTACATCCACTTCAGAAATAATGGAGGGATCCAAAACTATCATTTCTGGTTGTACTTTCTCTAACAATGACTTAACTTCTGCTTCTCTTCTTTGTGATTTGGTTTGGAATGGATTTACTTCCAGTGCATCAAAGTTAGGCTCTCCAGAACCTATAATAAAATTATTTATGTACATAAACCAATCAAAGACATCCTTATATTTATGGCAATGAATAAGAAAATCACTAGAATAAACTAAGAGTTAAAGAATTTAAAAAAGATACACAATGCACTAAAATATAAAAAAGCTAATATATTCTTACAGAATAGACTCATTTGGAAAAAAAATTAATTGTTATTTATTAATAATGACCACATACACAAGTAGCAAAACATTAATTCAGGTCTTTCCTCATTATAGTAGTAAAGACGATATTCACAAGTACAGCTTGGTCAAATAAGAAAAGCCCACTTCAATTTTATAACAATAATATTATGTTATTCAAGAGGCTTTGGTTAAAAACAAAATTTACTTTAACTGTTTATTGGTTATTTTCTAGCCTTTTCGGCAATACCAGACCAATCCTTGAAATATGTTTGGTGAAATATTGTGAGTGAGAATTCTAGAATTATATATATATTTCAAATAACTTTATATTTTATAACTTTTGACATTTATAACTATTATAGTATTAAATTTAACAAATCATGGTTATTAACAAAATAAAAAAATAATCAGTTTTCCATAAACACCTGTAAAATCACAACAATATATCATCGGTTTATTGTAAAACGTCACTAAGTACATTTTAGATGAAGCTAGACTTTTAATTATTTTATGTAAATTTCAATGCTATTCATCAAGAAAAAACACCGTAAGTACTCAAATTCTTTTATTATATATCAAATATAGACACAACAAGCGCACAATTTTCTCATTTCACAAAGTTCTAGTGATTAAGGTTATGAAATGTAACATAATGACTTTTTGCAATAAACCGACGATAGACTATATAATATATAAATATGTATTACGTCATTAGTTTTTCTATTGTTTAAAAAAGACTTGATCTTTGACAACCTAAGGGTTTCTGGAACACATTTGATTTATTTTGTTAGGAGAATTTTAATCAGGCAAAAGTCTAAATTGTACTAATTTAAACTAAATTCGATGGATTGAAAAATCAAAAACAGGATTCATTAATATTTCCAAAAATTTAGAGGTGATAATTTCTAACATTCAGATGTACATTACAGATTGTGACAAATTTACATCGGCTTAGATACAGATTTCTGACAAAATACAAGAAAACGAAGCTACCTCCATAAAATCGTCTAACCTTTTGAACTTTATTAGAAGAACAAAAAGGTTTGAGACAGAGTTGGAGATATAATTGACAACCATTGGTAGTATTGTCTTTGGGGTTAGCAAAAAGAACTTGCTGGACTAAGTCCTCCCTACCAGTAACATTCAGATAAGGCAGTTTTTTAAGTTAAAAAAAATATATTAAAAATGAATAGAAAACTTGAAGTCTGTCAAAAATGAGGATAAATAAATAGGTAGATGATTAAATTAAAAACTACCCAATACAAATTATTCAAGAATCATAATTAATCGGATGACAACACTATACATAACACAAAATAAATTATTACTAAATAGTTCATTTTATTCAAAAAATTACCTGGAACTAGGATACTACTGAATCCACTAGTAGTGGAAATTCCTAAAACGTCTTCATAAGGACAAAAATTTATTCCATGAACAAATGTTCGTGTTTTATGAACTAAATATGGTTCATTAACTGATTCTATGTGACAGTTTTTGTAGATCTGAAAAATAAATATAATATAAATTAACAGTGCTACCAATGGGTAGTACAAATAAAGTTGAAAATATCATAATAAAAGTTTTTAAAAAAAATTTATATATATAAAAATTAGCACATATAACTGAAAAAATAAGCAATAAGTGATAGTCTCTAAAAAACAACTAATATTAGTTCAACTAAGTAATTAAGTCAATTAAAAATAAAGGGGCACTTTTATATTAGTAGAAAAATAACACGCAAATTATACAAAAGTAAATATTATTGAATAATTGATGAAATCAATGTAACTTTAACTAATTATAATTTTATCAATACAATCAAATTAAATAAATAAACTCTAATTTGATTGCATTATTAAATAAAATTTAAACAAAGGCATTTAAAAAAAAAAAACCCCTGAAGCTAATAGTTAAATGGACCCTATAATTCCTTTTACTCCTCATACAGAATTTTTCAAAAATTAAATTTGCCAAAAAAAAAAAAAAAAAGTAATACCTAAATGAGCATATTAAGTGGAATTTTAGAATCTCTTAATAGAGTACCTTCTTTCAGACAATAGAGAATGGAAAATAACTATATATATACTTAGTGAATACAGAAAGTAAAAGGAATGTGCCTTTGAAAATAAGAAATAGCTTACAACAACAAATAGAAGCATAGGTAGTTCTTAAACCCACCTGCACAGTGTTTTCTATAGCAGCAGCCAAACAACCTCTCTGGCTGAAACTGAGATCAGTAGGAGCATTTTTAAGTTGGTAGTATTTTAATGGACCAGTCAAGTTTCTTAAATCCCAAACCTTAATCTGACTGTTTGCTGATGATGTTGACATGTACCTTTAGATGAAATATAAAAGAAAAATTAAATATATTAATAAAAAAAATTGCCACTGCTTAGCTTAAGTCAAGGTAATTAACTATAACTAGTTTCATAGACCAAAACAGAGCCTGCAGTAATGTTGAAAAACTTAAATGCAATACGGAGCAAATGTGCTGAAACTACAACAGCACTTCATCACTTACAGAATGCACTAAAAAGTTGTAGGGTTAATAATTGTGCAATAGACTAAGTCTTAGGATTGTTGATGATAAAATCAATACATACTTTACATTGTCATTAACTATAAAACAGACAGCAGACAGCAGTACAGTCCATTATTCACTTAGATAAAAAACCTGTACCACTACAACCCATGAAGGGTCTGGGGTTCAGTACTATTTAGGGAAAGCACTGTTCCTAGGTCAACGGTTGTGCAAGGAGGTGATTTGACCGAGATCACATTCAACTGCCAGGTTTTCCCCCTTAAATATTAATTATAGGTACCCACTTTATAGAGGCTGGGTGTGCCCCAAGGAGGGTCTCCTGAGCCAGGGTCGCCCCACGGCCTATGAAACAGATAAATAAATTTTCTCCCATGAGCCGGGGTTTGAACCTGGGACCTTTGCATTGAAAGCTCAGTGCCCTACCACTGAGCCACCCCACTTTCTTCTTTGAGTTATATTCACTGAGATATTTAATTAAAATAAATCAAATTTTACTAAAATAATTTAATTATTCAAGATTTAGATTTAATAAGATATTACGTTGGCATAAATTTGTTTTCAAGACATAATAAGTAAACTACCTAAATATTTAAATTAAATTATTAACAGTGAATTATCAAAGGAATATTTCAATGTAAAAACAACTAAAACTTAACAAAATAATTGAGGACAGTTCCTTACTTTCCTGTACTATCAATAGCAATAGCTTGAACTCCTGTTGGATGGCACAGCATACTGGCTAAGGGTTTCTGAACATTGGGACTCCACATAGTCACAACACCTAAAATAAATATATACAATTTTTCATAAAAGTAAAACATAGACTTTTTATATTATTTTTAACAGTATTGAATGAAGTCAGTCGACCATTCTATATCATAGGTGATAAATATTCAGGACGCTGTGATTTTAAGATTTTTTATTGTTGTTGCCTATAAACAATGAAAATCTTAAAATCCTGACTATTTATCACCTATTTTTGCAGTCGAATAAATTTGTGCAGCTGGAAAGTATTGTTGAAGAGAAGTTGGTTGTCGATTGCAGCTCTTGGTAGTACAAAGTAATATTAATTATATAATATATTTTTATCTAATTATAATATCATTTATTTTTACATTGTACTTCTGATGAATGCAATACCCAATCAACTTCTCTTCTAGTCTATAAGAAAGAATTCATTTTCTGACTATAGCTAGCAATGTTTAGGCTCTGATAAAAACGAGGAGTCTGATCCTTCAATACTAGGTTGTTACAATGTACAAGAAGTTTAGACACTTTCCTTTGCTTTTGACATCACTGATTACAATACATTGACTATGTCCTTTTTGATAACCACCTGCTCTTCATTTAAAACAGAAAAATGGCTAGATAAAATATATCAGATTCATTATATTTTATATTTGTGGATTGATGGTTGACTGCAGTGAATAATTGAATAGAAGAATGGTTGGGCTTATCAGTATAAAATAAATATAATTATTTATTTTTACTTTTTTTTTACTGATCACCTCAACCATTCTTCTCTATATCTTATATCACTTAAATACAATTGCTACATTACAGCAAATTATTCAGAAAAATAAATAAATACCTTTTGAATGGCCCAAACAGATTACTCCATTGTATGGATTATATTCCATAACTGACAGCCTTCCTTCTCGTGTATTATACTGGCTAACTAACTCCCCAATAGAGATATCTAACCAACTCAACCAACCATCTTCATTCTATATAAATAGATTACATTTTCATTAAATAAACTACAATTGTTTTCATAAGATCAAATAATAGAGGTATATTTACCGATGTTGCCAGAAGGAAATGATATGGCAAAAATGTCATCCTTAATATATTGTACAATTTTTTGATACAATGTAATTCCACACCTTGGTTGTCATATATATACACCCATTTTTTTTGAGCAGCAGCAAACATCGTTTCAACATGCAGCCACCTAAATTAAGAAAGAATTGACTATAATTTAAACCAATCACTTAATAGTATCCTAAAAATATACTTCAACTTACTGTACATCGCATACTTCTTCCATTACATTAATTTCACAAAGCAACCGTTTTGTAACCCAATCCATCGCAGCAACATGTCCTTTTTTACCTCCTATTAATAAATGCCTGCCATTTCTAGTGTAATCAAACCTAAAAATCAAATGAATAAAAACCAATAGAAAGAGGGTTTTAAGGAAATCAATTTTCAGTTATAAACATTAACATTTTGCACTCTGCTATCGTCAACATTACGAAATTTGAACTTTTGACTGAAGTTTTGTATAAACTGATGCCTGTGTTTATTATATGATTTTAATTTTGAAAATGACATTAGAAATGATTTTGGTATATTATTCTGATAAATTGATATTGAGTGTTAATATTTACCATGTACAAATAATGTTTAAAAAATGTATTCTTTTCTATTTTCAATTTTTGTTTTGGGGAGGGAGGGATGAGGAGTGTGGATATTATCAATTCAATGTTCATTAGGTTTTGTCAAGTTGCTTCAAACTTACTATTGAAATTCGCACTAGTATAAAATTTTAATAGTATCAATCAGCTTGAGATATTTTGAGATATAGATATATATATATATATATATATATATATATATATATATATATATATATATATATATTATATATATATATATATATATAATTATCTATAATCTATATATATATATATATATATAATTATCTTGGCACTACTTTACAAGTGAGGCTCCACTTTGATGGATGGGTACAAGATCTCATAATCACACTATAAATAGAATTCCGAGAATGACTAAGTATTAACATGCTAACTTCCCTTCATATGGATCACAAAATATAACATCCACAAACTCAGAATTGGTCCTTTTCAATTAATATCGGGGCATTAATTACATAGCTGCTTCCAACTTTTACTCCCTACACTAGCTCAAAATAAATAAACAAGTCCTTAATGGATCCTTTTCAGTTGAGATCAAGATCATACCTTACAATTTGATTCGGCAATCCCCGTCTACTCTCAGACATACCCCGAATTTTATTTACAGTGAGATCATGAAATTGTGTGCCCACACATCAAAGTGGAGCAACACTTGTAAAGTAGTAAACATATCTTAAATTAAAAAAAAAAATGAACATTGAATAAAAGAAAGGTAACACAAATGGATCAAACAGTAAAAAATCTTACATAAATTTCCAGCCTGTTAACTAATTAGATAATAAATAGTAGATATATAAGAAGAGACAACTGATCCTACCTGTATGGACCAAATTTGAGGTCTAATTCAAAATACTTAGTTGCACTGGTTATATCAACAGCCTTACTAATATTCTTCTGGGTTAAGTTATTGGTCTTTTCACCTTTATCAGGTACAATATATCTAAAAAAAATTAAATATTAATTTGGCACCACAAACATGGAGGTGCGTTTAGACTACGGGAAACACATTTCACTAACTATGGGAAACACAATTGTCTAACATAACCAATAGCGACATTAGCTATAAACCAATCTATCTATATTATTACTCAGGTTACCGACATCAGATGGAAAACATAAAAAATAAAAACACTATCGCAGAGAAAAGATCATTTATATCTTTGATTTTCCCACGTTTTTTGAAATGTCTAAATACACCTTGAGATTGTTTGAAAAATAAATTTCAATAATAAAATATTATTAAAACAAAATTAAGTATAATAAAAAGCAAACAATTACCCAACTTCTTCTGTGAGTAAGACCTCAGCTCTGGCAGCTTGTTCTTCAGCCCAATGTATATTTTTTTCTTTTCTTAAAACTTTAGCTCTGTCAAAAATATTGCTAATTCTTTTCGGATTCTTAATTCCAGGACCCCTTGAATATTTAAGTAGTTTTGGATCAAATTGTTTTTTATTTTTCATCTTGTTTTTCCTTTCTTTTCGCTGTTTGCTTAAGGATTCTTCTTGAGCGGGACTATCCATGATATTATCATTAACATATATTAACTAAAAATACAGAGAAATATCCTAGACCATCAAATCACACCAAGGATCAACACCATGTGATCAAACAACTTTTAAACACTCCACACTGAACGATAAAGACTAAGAAGTATTTCATCATGACCAAGGTCAGTAAAACTGCCAGGTTTGCTCCCTCAGAGGGAAAATGGTGGGAGAAATTGAGCTCTGACGTAGGCAAAAGACAAATTTTACCCCTCCGGCCTTTGTTTCTGGACATTTTAAGATTATTATTTACTTTTCTGCATTAAATCAATACTGCAATGCCAAATAACTTATTAATTTTAATAAATTTGAAAGGTGAGAGAAAGATTGATTTGATATTTGGTTTATTCTGAAGCAAATAAAATGTAATTTAACAAGTTGATGTATGATTTTTTGCAGAGTAACACAAAACTATGTTTTAAACATTTCAAATAAATATTTTAAGAGAATAATATAAAATAATAGAAATATTGAAAAAAAAAGTATTTAATCTAACATTAAAGAAGCGTTTTCTTTCAGTGATTTTTTGTAAATATTACATTTTTATGTCATAAGCAATCCTATGTAGTGATTTATCTCAAGTTTTTACCCTGGGCCCACACTACAGGCAAATCGAGGCAAATTCCCGCATTTTGCCTCAGTTTTATGGCAGTTTGCCCGAGTTTGCTAGCGCCACTGTAGTAGAGAACAAAGGAAAGGGCGAGAGTGGGAGGAGGTGGTGGGGATATTTTGACCTGCTGGTGGAAGGTAATGGGCTGTTTACCCCGGTTTGTTGCATATCCATCCGGAATGGAAAACTTAGGCAAAATCCAAGCAAGTTTTGCATTATGGCCGTTGCGCTGCGCTAGTGATGCATTGAATAGCCACTGTGATTGGCTGAGACAGAAACTTCCGTTTCCCGCATTTTTTTTGCAATATCCGAAATAAAAAAAAATTAGTGCGCACAACACACAACTTTCACTTACCTTCTACTTTGAATAGAAATTACTTTCTGGAAATGTTGAGCAATTATAAAATTTTTGAAGTGCACTTTTAATGGGTCTATAGCTTTAAGTTTACTGCTAATAAATCATTAACATCACTAAAATAACAGAAACCCTATTAATTATATCAACGGTAGATAATAAAAACCTCCCTACCCCATATTTTTTCGTAAACCACATAACTCCTATCTCTGAGCAATATACATATGTCTAGAGAGATTTTAAAGTATATCTCTATATTCAACCTATAAATGATTATGGATTCTACCCCTATTAGTTATTAAACTGTTATTTTCCATTGTAAAATTTACTACAAAGATATTATGAGATTTTCATCGCCTATCATAGATAGCTCAAAAGTTTTTATACTAATTTAACAAAGGGAAAATTCATCAAATTACTCACTAATTTAATTTTTTTTAAATGTTATACGACGACCAACGGACGTTGATACCTAATTATTTAAATATAATATCAGATTTAGAATTATTAAAACTATAGTAAATGTATTTAAGGTTATAAACATAGGCTTTATACATCCATGAAATATTTTTATATTTCACTTCTTTCACATTAGTACTATGAAATAGCTTTTTTAACAATTACATTGCGTTGATTAGGTGAATTTTAAATAGTTTTTTCAAACTTAAAAACAGTTTAAATTTAGTTAGTAAATTTCATTTATTTAATTTCCTTGAAAAAATGTGATTTCCGTTAAACAATATTAGTTTACACAAATTATTATTTATAATAATCTCTCTCCATTACTTTCTATATTTCATATTGTTTTTTTCTAAAATTATCCGCTTTCCAATGATATAACTTCTGACAAGTATTGCCGGTAATTCATTTTCATCCTCAATACACATTTTCCCTTTTTTCTCCATTTTTCAATTATCAAATTCTTTCAAAAGTTATATTTAGCATTTTTTCGTAATTCTTAATAATGAGAGATGGTTAATTATTAAAAATTAATCAAATTAAAGGTACTTTAGAGGATGAAATGTTGAACATTTAGGCATTTAAGCTATGTAAAGTGACATTAATGGGGATAAGACCTCAATGATATTAAAGACCACTTAATTATACAATAATACACGAGTTTAATCAAAATTTTCTGTGCAACCAGCTTTCTGTCTTTCAGTAATAACAAACAAATCATTATAAACTACAAAAATTAAATGAAGATATTATTTGCCATTAAATGAATTATGGAAGTTTGTTAGCGGAAGGGTTCATATAAATAAAATTAAATAAGATATAATGAAATATAACATATATTTTTGAACATTTTTACATAATATATTTTAAATAACAAAACTTTTAATCCATTATTTGTTTTTCCCATTTTTCATTACTTATATATATTTATTTGATTTATTATATTTCCATATATTTGCTATTTGTACTTATCATCTTTTTGAGTGTCAGGTATATATATCATAACCTTTCGTACTTATTCATTACCTTTTATTATCATAAACTAAGTTTTTGTTAATTCATCTAATTACATTTTATTATTCATATATAATTATTCCATTTTATGTTTCTTCTTCATTTAATACTACTCTTCATTGTTTATTTCCGTTTTATAGTTGAATTGAAATACTTTATAAAACCAATTATGTCAAGTTCCACTTTTGGTAATATTATTTCAGCCAACAATTTGCCCTAACATCGCTGCCATACTCCTATCTACCTTAATAAATAAGTATAATCACTGAACTTTTCATTTTTTAGCTAGATTCTGCATTTACACAAAAAAACCATTAAGCAAAAAGTTTTTTTATGTTTTTGAAAACTCAGAGTTGAAATTTTTAATGATCCCAATACTTCGCATTACATTAAAATAAAATAATATCCATTTTCACATATTATTTAGTCAATATAAAAAAAAAAGTTCAAAATTTATTTATTTTTTAACCTATGCTTATTCTACTTTAGAGAGTTGAAAACAAGTATTCATTATTTTTTTTAAAATGATCAGTTTATCAGTTTCTTTTTTAGTGCCCATATTGGTATCGGTCTGTCAACTAATTTTACATTTCACAGACATTAGTGTTAATCTATATATGTTTTTTTTTCTCTTTCTATATCTTCAGTTCAAATAAAACCGAACAACTCACAAAATTACTAACCTAGACTCTAATAAAGTTGCATTAATAACATTTTAAGCACATATTGAAACACCATAAATACATTACTATATTTGTATATGAGAAGGAGTTAGTTGAGGGTGCGGTCAAATAAATAAAAAAATTAAAAAATATAAATAATTTTAATTTTTGCCGACGTTTCGACCCACTTTGCAGGTCGTCTTCAGGGCTACAAAAGATACAAACATGTTGAAAAAATAAAAATAAAATAAAAAATAAATATAAGTATATATAAATTACGAAGAAGTTGTCAGATACAGAAATAAAAGATAAGGAAAATAAATACATGATAAGAAAATAGATAAAAGAAAATAAAAACATGAATGTTAACGAATAAATGAATGTTCATTTATTCGTTAACATTCATGTAACGAATAAATTAAAATTATTTATATTTTTTAATTTTTTTATTTATTTGACCGCACCCTCAACTAACTCCTTCTCATATCATATAAACGGTCAACCATCTCTACATTACTATATTTGTAATTAAATGACTGTATCATGGTTAGAGACTAACATCATACAGTGCCAATTTTGATGCCTACTTCAATAAATAATCAACCATCCTAAGCCTAAAAAAGTTATATTTGTATAAAACATTGTCTGATTAAAATAACAATTAAGTCTAAGTGTGGAAATTTTAACCACATAGTGAGACTGCCTTTGTTTTGTTATTCGCATTTTTAATTTTAGAAATTTGACATATACCTATCATTTATTGGTTATTTACACACAAGTTGTAATATATATGTTTGAAGGGAAATGATGGAAGATGTTATTTATAATACATAAAACCCATATATTTACAAAATATAATAAATCATATACATAAACTAAATTTAATAATTATAATGTTGCTAGAAAACTAATCTTTATATCTTAACTTTGTTATTATTATACAAAATAGAAATTCTATTAATGAACAAATAAATAATTTTAGGTTCAAATATACAATACAAAATATAAATGAATTAATACAACATTTCAAACTAAACAAATTAATGAATACAAGATATGTTTTTGTTTATACAAAATCATGAATAAAGGAATATAACATTACAGATAAATCATTTTTAAATACATCAGAAAAAGCTGAATAATAACTAATGATTATTCTAATAATTTACTGGATTATTCTCCATCTTCTTCAAACACCTTTAAAAAGGCTTTATTAATAATATCTCTGTTTGGAGGAACAACCTTACTAATATTTACAGAAAAAGTGTCTGTTTTATATTTTTTTCAAATATAATCATATATTTGTTTCAATATTACAAATATTTTTACTCCGCACACATCTTCCCCAAGCCTCGTTCCATTTCACATATGCACAAACTTTGTTCTGCTTGAGGTAATTGGTCCAACCTTTCTCCTAACATGGACCCATAATTCTGAGCAATTGTTTTGGGTTTATTTGTATTTCTGCACTGTTTTTTTATTATTTGGACGAGTTTATTAAACGGGGCCATAATTTCCTCTTCACCTTTGTTTGATTTTTTTTTTTGTCTTAGGCTGCAATACATACCGTTGTTCAATAAAGATAAATCATCGAGTACTTCAGCCTGTCCTTCATCTTCACACTCAACAGTAGGGGAACGCTGAAAAAAAAAATTACCAATTTTAAGCCTGGTATCATCCAACTAAAAAATCAGATATTTTAATTTCGTTATAATTTTTTCCCTTCTATTTTTTGCCATGCTTATAACACACTTAGTTGAGATTTTCATTTTTAGAGGAGGGTCTATGTCTGGCACACTTTAAGACTAAATTTTACAGAGAACAAATAAAAGCTATGTAACATTTACATTAATAATGAAAGTCGAGGAAAAAACAGAACTAATCCTTAATTGAAATAGGAAACAATGGAATCAAATTCATAACAGAAGAAAATAAATAATTTGTTATGGGTAAACAGATAATGTGGAGGAAACAAGACAGAATGGCTAAGGCATCATAGGGAATTTTCTCTTTATAGTCAT